TCCAGTTCTGTGAGATTTGATGGTTGTGGAACCAGCTGCCTGATGGCTCTTTGAACTTCTTCCCACAAATGCTCAATTGGATTGAGATCTGGTGATTGTGGGGGTCACGTAAGCAAGGTAAAGTCTCCCTCATGTTCTTGAAACCACTCCTGCACAATACGAGCACCATGACATGGCGCATTATCTTATTGGAAGAAGCCATCTCCATTAGGATATACCATCAACATGATAGCATGAACTTGATCAAGCATCGATACTTTGGTTGCAAAATACTTTGGTTGCAAAATAGCAAAATACTGTGCTATTCAGACTTTGTTCCACATGAATTAAAAGGCCCAAATCATACCAGGAAAACATGTCCCAAACCATAACACTGCCCCCACCAGCTTGAAGGGTTGTACTCATGCATGTGAGGTGCATGCCTTCATGCTGTTTCCTCCAAATTCACAATCTGCCATCTGCATGATGCAACTGGAAACGTGGTTCATCAGACCACATGACTTTTTTCCAATGCTCGACTGTCCAATCCTTGTGTTCCTATGCAAATTGGAGACATTTTATCTTGTTAAATGCAGATAGCAAAGGTGATCAAATAGGTCTTCGGCTTCCGTATCCCATACGATGCAGTGTACAGCTGATTTACTGTAGTCATAATAAATCTGGCCACTCAGTGTATATTTTTATTGATTTCAGAGATGAAGAGAGAGAAATGATGAGAATCATTGATCAGCTGCCTCCTGCATGCCCCAGACTGGAATCAAGCCCACAACATGGGCATGTGCCCTGTCTGGGAATGGAACCATGAGCCTGGTCACCACCAACTGCCCTCCCTGCTGGCCTAGTCACCCCTAACTTCCCTCCCATGACCAAGTTACTGCCTTTTCAATTCTCCATTTGATTACCTGAGGGAAAGTCTCCACTTGGTACTAGTATGTTTTTAATATCACTAACCTATTAAAATTCTCCCTTTTTTTGCCCTAGTCGGTTTGGATCAGTGGACAGAGCGTCAGCCAGGTTCTATTCTGGCTGAGGGCACATGCTTGGGTTGCAGGCTCCCTCCCAAGTAGAAAACATTTAGGAAGCAGCCAATCAATGATTCTCTCTCATCATTGATGTTTCTCTCTCTCTCTCTTCCTCTCTGAAATAAATTATATATATATATATATATTTTCTCATCCTGGCTGGTTTGGCTCAGTGGATACACCCTCAGTGGACTAAAGGGTCCTGGGTTCGATTCTGGCCAAGGCCACATGCGTAGGTTGTGGGTTTGATCCCCAGTGGGGGACGTGCAGGAGGCATCCAATCGATGATTCTCTTTCATCTTTCTCTCTTTCCCTCTGAAATTAATAGATATATTTTTAAAAAATCTCCCTTTTTAAACAGTCAGGCATTAGGCTCAGAGCCTTGGAAAGGGTACATAATCTAGGCAGAATACAATATACTACTATAGTTACATTTGTAATTGCCTTTTGATTACAAGAAACTGATTTTCTACTTACAATCACAAAATGACATTTAAAAAAATCTACACTTTATTAGATCAATTTAAAGAAAATACTAATTATATATCATATGTGAAGACAAAAATAGAGTTGAGTTGGCTGAAATTGAGGACTGAAAATTGGGAAACAGTGATACAAGGAAAGAGGCTGAACCCAGCCCTGCTCACCGTGATCTCCCGCAGTATCTGTCTCTAAGGAGAACAGTATGGCTAATTTACATTGTAGAATTTGGTACACTTGACTCTTTCCATGATTTGAAAGTAGTTTTAAAAGCACTGCCCATTGGCTGTAGACTCCCTGTAACTCCATTCCTCTTTGAATTCAATAAGCCTGAAGCAGAGTGTCTTAGATCCGTAACTTTCTTGAAAAAGAATTGGGCCATTTTAGTTGACAGAAAAAGTCTATTTAACACCTACTACTTACCAGTGTAGTAGGCACTTTACACACATTATCTCAGTAACCGTTACTACAGCTCCATGGGATGAAGAGCACAATCCCACTTTAGAGACAGAGCTCCAAGCAGTGAAGGAATTTTTGTAACATGAGAGAAAAGTTAAGATTAAATACAAAATTCTTAGTGTCTGGCAGAGGTAACAAGTAGTAAATTGATGATCGTCACTATTACTGTCATAGTAATTGGCAAGCTCAGGATTTAGCCTAAAGTCTGCTCAATTCAAGCCCATGCTTTTTTTTTTTTTTTTTAAGTAGATTTTGTGTTTTTATTTTTTTTTTATTTTTCTTGATTTCAGAGAGGAAGGGAGAGGGAGAGAGAGGTGGAAACATCAGTGATGACAAAGAATCATGGATCGGCTGCCTCCTGCACGCCCCACCTTGGGGATCGAGCCCCCAGTTCGGCCATGTGCCCTGACCAGGAATCGAACCACGATCTCCTGGTTCATAGGTCAACGCTCAACCTCTGAGCCACGCCGGCCGGGCAAGCCCATGCTTTTTAATAAGACCATCCTAGGGCCTGTACAATTGCAGAAAAAGAAAAAATATATAAAAATAACCCAAAACAAAGTTAAATCACTGTACTATTTATTCAGCAGATCTTTACTTGGCGTCTATGTTCCAGATGTTATGAAATCATCTAGTCATTGCATGTACCCATAGGCTAGCTTGGGATCCCACAGGTTGCTACACTGCCCTGTTCTTTCCCTACCAAACCCATGTGTATAATTTCTGATTTAATATCTATCATCTGTGTTAGAGAGAACATGTCTACTGTAATGACTTTATTCCCAGTATGTATCATAGTGGACGATATAGAACACGCTTAAACATTTGAACATTTGAACAGGAAAAAAAGTTTGCATAAAAATCAGTACTATATATATATTAGGAAACTAATAGTGTGTGTGTGTGTGTGTGTGTGTGTATGTGTGTGTGTGTATATATATATATATATATATATATATATATATATATACATACACTAAAGGAAACTAGTAAAGTGTGTGGACACTTTACTATTGTAGTTTCCTTCCAAGAAACACAAATTGAAAAAAAAAAAGGAATCCTCCATTTTAGGGGGACACGCTATATATGATCCCAGCTATGTTAAAGAAGAAAACTAAGACTGAAGAAAAGTTTTCAAATGTCTTTATGGGTAGTGGGATTGTCAGTATTTCTTGTTTTTCTTATATCTACAGTAGTAGAAAGAGAATATGAGTAAAATCTAATGCCTAAAAACAACCTGTAAAGTCTACAAGGAGTGAACATAAACAAACAGATGTTTATAGTTACCACTTACAAGATTATCTGCTTTCATTCTCCTTACACCTCCTCTACAAAACTGAAAGGTTTGTGCAAGCAGGTGCTTAGGGACAGCAGGCCCTTCACCCAAATCTTTAGCAGAATTATGAGGTGGTAATTAGATCCCACAGGGAATCTCAAACCAAATCTGGAAGGAACTGGCACAAGCAGCCCTCTGCTGGGGAAATGAGAAAATGCAACCACCGCAAACGATCTTGGAGAATTAGAAAGGGTACTTAGGGCCCTTAGGGCAAGAGAACACTCAAAAGGTATTCACTGAGCAGAAACTGGTTTGGCTCAGTGGATAGAACGTTGGCCTGCGGACTGAAAGGTCCCGGGTATGATTCCGGTCAAGGGCATGTACCTGGGTTGCGGGCACATCCTCAGTAGGGGGTGTGCAAGAGGCAGCTGATTGATGATTCTCTCTCATCGATGTTTCTAACTCTCTATCCCTCTCTCTTCCTCTCTGTAAAAAATCAATAAAATAAAATAGGTAAAAAGGTATCTGCTGAAAAATAAAAGAGTTTTTAAAGCTAAAAAGTCATTTTGAAAGTTGAAGTGTGAATGTTTATTTTGGTAAATCTTGAGTACCTATTTAAAATCTCTGAGACACCAAAACCGGTTTGGCTCAGTGGTAGAGCGTTAGTCTGCAGACTGAAAGGTCCCAGGTTCGATTCCAGTCAAGGGCATGTACATTGGCAGCTGGTCGATGTTTCTCTCTCATCGACGTTTCTAGCTCTCTCTCTCCCTTCCTCTCTGTAAAAAATCAATAAAATATATTTTTAAAAAATCTCTACCGGGACCGGTTTGGCTCAATGGATAGAGCGTCGGCTTGGGGACTGAAGGGTCCCAGGTTCGATTCGGTCAAGGGCATGTACCTTGGTTGCAGGTGTATCCCCAGTAGGGGGTGTGCAAGAGGCAGCTGATCGATGACTCTCTCTCATCGATGTTTCTAACTCTCTATCTCTCTCCCTTCCTTTCTGTATAAAATCAATAAAATATATATAAAAAAAATATCTCTGAGCCTCAATTCTTCATATGTAACGCACAGAAATGTCACATAAGGTCATTTTGAAAATGTCAAAATATGCAGCGGACAGTAAATGCTTAATAAGTGACAGCCATTATTTTACCTTTTACTCACATTTCATAACCTTTGCAGTAATCATTTTACCTTTTGGAATAACTTTTCCAGTGTTTGCAAAGAAGAACTCTGAAGAATCATAGAAATTGCAACTAAGAAAAATGTGTATTTAAAAAGCATGGCAGATGGTTAAAAACCATGAAAATAACTTTGAGATTTGTTCACTGAAAATGTTTATTAAGGTGTTAACATTTTATCAAATTGACTCAGTATTTGTATAATTTAAAATTCCGAGTTGCCCCCGAATAATCCAGATGTCTACAATATACACATAAACTACCATGCTTCCCGATACTTAACATACTCAAATTTCTCTCACTTCCATTTATCAGACAAGTAAAACATTAATCTTTCAAAGTTACACCTTCAAAGAGTTTGCAAATGCCTCTCTCTCCAAGTTTTAAAAAAATTGTTTAAACCTTCTTAAAAAAGGAAGTTCAAACTCCCGATCAACAGCTTTAATCTGCCACCCCTAATGTATCCACATACCAAATGAACACTTCAAATATCTTACAATTTTTGTCAATTATGCCCCATAAAGCTGAAAAAATTTAAGATCACACATGGAAAAAGCCTTACTCTGAACCAACACTGAGAAATAAAGCAATGGAAGAGTGTCTTTTATTCATTATTCTGAGCAAAAGCACGAAATGTATTTATTACTTCATTTTTCCATAAAGAGAATGAACTTTATATTTAGAGAAATAAAAAATTAGGCATCGGGAAGTGTTTTGGGAGTATGATCAATAAGCTCCTTATCAATGGTTGGTTCCTGAAACCAGGGACCATCACCTCTCGCACGCATTAATCTTCGTACTTCCATCTCCTTTAGCCTGTAATAAATGAAATAGCAATATTGTGATTCTAACATTTCCAAATACATATTTATTGAGTTACCACGATAAAAAACAACCACTAGAGAGCTTTTAGCTTTACGTAAGTATAATGTCCATCTACAGATCCATGTGTATGCATAAAATTAATATATACCTATAAGCAAAATTTAGGACTTGTTTTTGACTTTTATTATCTTGCTTATATAGTTAGCTAACACATACTGCTTTTAATCCCCAAAACATTACTTGAATTGGTAATCAATTCTCTACTTCTGTCCCTGCTTTGTCTGGACAGAGTGCCTTCACTTGAATAGTGGTAATGCATTCTCTGTCTTTAATGCCTAGGATTAAGGCCATATGCTGTGCCAAGGACTAGGAATTAAAACATGAAGATGCCTTCTTAGAGGACCTTACATCCCCTAGTTTATACTGGCTGTCCATTACCATTAGGACAGAAAATCACATGAGAGCAGGAATGGTATCTTATTCAACAGCATCACACTAAGCCTGGTCAGCACCAGACAATTGGTATTTGTAAAGAAAACAAGAAAGAAAAACCAAGATTAAGAAAAACATCCTACAACATAAGGCCTAATTACTTGTCCTCATCCTTCTTCACAACTGAATAATCTCTATTCTATCAAGATACTTTCCTCTCCTACAGCCACACCTTTGTACAAACTACCACACATTCCTGAACAGTCCCTCTCCATCAAACCTTTTACTTACAATTTATAGACTACATATCAACTAATCACATTTAAATAATTCATTTTATTAACCTTAACCAGCTCACTAACCTAGGAGCATATTTATCTCTTATTTAAGATTAAATATCATTCTTTTCCTCTTCTACTCTTTAGAATATAATTATCCAGAACTCAAGTAATTAAAATATTCACACAAAGGAGACTGGTTAAATAAGTTATGGTTAGCCCACAGAATGGACTACTCTGTACCTAAGGAAAATCTATCTACAGTTACACAGAAGATGATAGATATACCATTAGGTTAAAAAAGCAAGGTAAGAAATCAGTGTGTAGCATCTTCCCATTTCATCAAAAAAACAAAGTCATCATTTGTGACTATGTATGTAGGTACACATGCATAAGTTATTAAAAATCTGGAGGAGCCCTGGTCAGTGTGGCTCAATGGTTGGAGCACTGGCCCATGCAGCAGAGTCTTTTTATTTTTAATTTAACAAATCTTTACTGTTGCCGAGACCGGTTTGGCTCAAGGGATAGAGCGTCGGCTTGGAGACTGAAGGGTCCCGGGTTCGATTCCGGTCAAGGGCATGTACCTTGGTTGCGGGCATATCCCCAGTAGGGGGTGTGCAAGAGGCAGCTGATGGATGACTCTCATCGATATTTCTAACTCTCTATCTCTCTCCCTTCCTCTCTCTACAAAATCAATAAAATATATTTTAAAAAAAACTTTATTGTTCAGATTATTACAATTGCTCCTCTTCCCCCCCTCCATTGCTCCCCTCCACCCGATTCCCACTCCACCTTCTGCCCTTACAACCTCCCCACTGTCCTCATCCATAGGTGTCAATTTTTGTCCAGTCTCTTACTGCCCTCCCATCCCTTTCTCCCTGAGAATTGTCAGTCCACTCCCTTTCTACTGTATTATATTATATTCACCAGTTTATTCTGTTCATCAGGTTTTTTATTCACTGATTTTTAGATTCACTTATTGATAGATATGTATTTATTTAAAGCCAGCACCGCACTCAGTTGTCACTTTGTTGTTTATAATTTTTTATCTTTACTTTTTTCTTCTTCCTCCTCTTCTTAAAGAATACCTTTCAGCATTTCATATAATACTGGTTTGGTGGTGATGATCTCCTTTAGCTTTTTCTTATCTGTGAAACTCTTGGTCTGACCTTCAATTCTGAATGATAGCTTTGCTGGGTAGAGTAATCTTGGTTGTAGATTCTTGCTATTTAATATTTCTTGCCACTCCATTCTGGCCTATATACTTTCTGTTGAGAAATCAGCTGACAATTGTATGAGTGCTCCCTTGTAGCTAATTAACTGTTTTTCTCTTGCTGCTTTTAATATTCTTTGTCTTTTGCTCTTGGAATTTTAATTATGATGTGTCTTGGTATGGTTCTCTTTGGATTTCGTTTGGGGTTCTGTGCGCTTCCTGGACTTCTATTTTTTTCATCAGGTAGGGTAAGTGTTTGGTCATTATTTCTTCAAATAGGTTTTCAATATCTTGCTCTCCCTCTTCTTCTGGCATCCCCATAATTTGGATGTTAGTATGCTTGAAGTTGTCACAGAGGCTCCTTACACTATCTTCATATTTTTGGATTCTTTTTTCTTTTTGTTTTTAAATATATTTTATTGATTTTTTACAGAGAAGAAAAGAGAGGGATAGAGAGTTAGAAACATCAATGAGAGAGAATCATCGATCAGTTGCCTCTTGCATACCCCCTACTGGGGATGTGCCTGCAACCAAGGTACATGCCCTTGACAGGAATCGAACCTGGGACCTTCCAGTCCGCAGGTTGACGCTCTATCCACTGAGCCAAACCGGTTTCGGCTTTTTTCTTTTCCGGTTGAGTGTTTTTTGCTTTTTCATTTTTTAAATCTTTGACTTAATTCTTGAGATACTCTACTCTGTTGTTAGATCTCTGTATAATATTTTTTATTTCAGTCAGTGTATGTTTAATTTCTAGTTGGTCCTTTTTCATATCCTCGAAGGTCTTACTAAATTTATCAGCCTTTTCTAGGATATTCTTGAAAAACCTTATAACCGTGGTTTGAACTCTATATCCAGTCATTTGTTTTCCTCCATTTCTTTCATTTGTGATCTGTTTCTTTGTCTCTGCATTTTGGCTGCTTCCCTGAGTTGATAGAATGGCTTTGTGTACTAGGTGTCCTATAGGGCCCAGTGGCTCAGCCTCCCCAGTTGCCTAAGGTGGACACTCTTGGTGCACCCCTTTGTGGGCTGTGTACACACAGTCTTGCTATAGTTAAGTATTGATTGTTGTTGGTATGCCTGGGAGGGATTCACCTCTGGGCCAACTGGCTGTGAGGACCAGCTGTGTCTATGCTGGGAGAACTTCTCTACTGGAAATACTCTTATGAGACAAGGCTTGCAAAAGCCTCTGTGCTCAGCTTGGATGGGGTGGAGTCTCAGGGCAGAGCAGGCAGCCTTGGTTTCCTGTCAGCTTTGCCCCATGAGGCCCGTGGGTCTCAGTATTCCTCAGTAATCTCTGCAATCATCTCTGAGAAAAAGCTTTCCTTGAATTTTGTCTGCTGTCAGACAGTACAGTTTCTCCCCAAATGAGTCTGGGTCCCCAAAGTCTTGCCTGGAACTGGAGTTCAGCATAGTCAGGAGCCGCATGCCTCTAGGCCTCTGCCTTCTACAGCTCCCCCGAGTCCCAGTTAGCCTCTCTCTTTCTTGACAGTCCATATTCAACCTGTATGAATCGGTCCGAGTCTCGCCTGAACTGGAGTTCAATGCAGTCAGGAGCCCCTGACTCCCTCCCACTTGAGAAACCCAGCAGCGCACTCAGCAGGCCAGTCCTCTCCTCATGTACCTGCGTCTCCGTACCTTAGCCTTTTGCAGCTCCTCTGAGTCTCAATGTGCTTTTCGCTTTCCTTCTAGTTGTAGAATTTCCACTCAGCCAGTTTTCCTGTGATTCTGAAGGATATCCGTTTTGTCTTTTAGTTGTAGTTTTGAAATTGTTGTGCAAGTGAGCAGTTTAGGTGTTCACCTCAGCCGCCATCTTGGTTTTTCCTCTGCATCAAAGAATCTTGGGTTCAATTCCTGGTCAGGGTGTGTGTGGGAGGCAACCAATAGATGTGCTTCTCTCACATCTCTCTCCTCTGCCTCTCTTCCCCTCCCTTGCTCTTTTCCACTCTCACTCTCAATGAAAAGCAATGGAATATCCTTGGGTGAAGATTAACAACAACAACAAAAAATCTGGAGGGCCAAAGATCACAGTTAACTCAGGGAGAGTCAATCATGGGAGATAGTTCTTTCTGTTTTATATATTTCTTTATGCTCCAGTTTTTCAAATACCTAAACATATACTTTTAAAAAAATATATTTTATTGATTTTTCACAGAGAGGGAGAGGGATAAAGAGTCAGAAACATCGATGAGAGAGAAACATCGATCAGCTGCCTCTTGCACACCCCTCTCTGGGGATGTGCCGGCAACCAAGGTAGATGCCCCTGATCGGAATCGAACCTGGGATCCCTTAGTCCTCAGACTGATGCTCCATCTACTGAGCCAAACCCGTTTTGGCTAATCATATACTTTTTAATAACTGTAGCTCGATTGCACATTGACATCTTTCCTTTGGGTTTCGGTTTTTGTTTTTACTTTGCTTTCAAATTGTTTAGAAGCTCTGTATTTCTAAAGAATTCCGGGATCTGGTCTTTTAATTGGAACTCATAGGTATATGTCTGAAGTTCAAAAATGTCTAGTGTTACTAAGTGTGAGTCATATTGTTTTTCCATGCTTTTAAATACTTAATGACAAATGCATGTGGTAACCCTATATACTACAATAGTACATGTAATTACATATTTAAAATAAGTCAATCACATGTTCTTTTAAATATTATTCAGTATCAGCAGGTTTTATAAACTATAAAGATTAAATCATAATGAACAGAAAGCAATCAATGGCAGTATGTGGCAAAGAGCAGGGGAGGAGGACTGACTGGAAGAGAAAGGAAAAAGGTTCACTAGGTCATCGAAGTGACCTTGACAGTGTGGTTACATTGCTATATATTTTTGTCAAAAACCCACTGAGCTTAATGTGTACATTTGAATGTATGTAAGTCTCACTCCAAACCCCAAAATAAATCTGATAGGATTAAATTTAAAAGCAGCAGAAGGAAACTGACTGACCATTTAAAAAAATAATTTTGGATCATAGACCTATGCATAACACAAAATCCCAGAACCTTAAAAAAAAAAAAAAAAAAAAAAAAAAAAAAAAAAAAAAAAAAAAAAAAAAAAAAAAAAAAAGACTGACAAACCTGACAAGTAGGGAAATAAATATAAAATAACTAAAGCAATGTTACACTGCAGTGTTCAAAATATATTAGCTACTACTAATTTTTATCTGAAATATAAAAACATTTCTACATGGCAAAGCATTCTGCACTGTCAAAAGACAAATGATAAACCAGGAAAAGGTATGTGTAAGAAAAACAAAAATCAATTTAATGTATAGATGAGTAGAAAAATGGGCAATTTATACAAAATAAAAAGTAAACAACCAACAGATATATGAAAAAATACTCAACCTTACAAAAATACAAAATGGAAATGATGAGATAACATTTTTCAACTATCTCATCAGATAAATTCCATTACTAGGAAAGGTATGAAAAAAACAGAAATTACCACATACTGGTGACAGAAAAGACAACTGGCCCAACTTTTTTGAAGGGTTTAGCAATACACATCTAAAATTTAAAACATGTAACATTTGGCTTATCAATACCACTGCTAAAAATTTATATTCCAGATATACTGAATAGATATGCAAAAATGTACATAAGGAATATTCATAGCACTTTGCAGAATATTAAAAAAAAAAAAAAAAAAAAAAAAAAACCTGGAAAGAATCTAAGTACTGACAATAGGTGACTGGTTAAAAAAATTAAGGCACATCCATCTAGCAAAATATATGATGCATCCATTAAAAAGAATGAGGCATATACTATCAGAAAGATCGCCAAGGTATCTTTAAGTGAAACAAAGTCAGGTGCAGAACCATGTGTATAAGAGGATTCCATTGTGTTAATAGTTTTCAAATGGTACACAAAATGTATTTTTAATGCATAAAATTTTGGGAAGGGAACATATATTGGAAATTAAGTAGTGGTCACCTCTAAGGACAGACTCGGGGCAGAAGGAAAAGAAATTGGGGGAGGGGAAGTGGAAGGAGAAGACTGCCTTGCTCTTAGGGCAGTGGTCAGCAAACTCATTAACCAGCAGAGTCAAATATCAACAGTACAACGATGGAAGTTTCTTTTGAGAGCCAAAAAACTGACTCCTGCGCACGGGCTACGAAGTTTCAGTCACACTGTACGTGTGCACCTGCACGTGGTACTTTGTGGAAGAGCCATACTCAAGGGCCAAAGAGCCGCATGTGGCTGATGAGCCACAGTTTGGCAACCACTGTTTTAGGAGAATAGAATACTTTATTTTTATTTTTATTTATTTTTATTTTTTTTAATATATTTTTTAATTGATTTTTTACAGAGAGGAAGGGAGAGAGAGATAGAAACGTCGATGAGAGAGAAACATCGACCAGCTGCCTCTTGCACACCCCCCACCGGGGATGTGCCCGCAACCAACGTACATGCCCCTGACCGGAATTGAACCCGGGACCTTTCAGTCCGCAGACCGACGCTCTACCACTGAGCCAAACCGGTTTTGGCGAGAATAGAATACTTTAAAGAGAATTTATTTTAATATGACAGATATTATCTCGTAAAGAGAGGCCAAAATTTGTGCACGGTGGGGGGCTCACTTCAGCCCAGCCTGCACCCTCTCCAATCTGGGATCCCTCTCACAATCCTCGACTACTGGCTCCTAATTGCTCACCTGCCTGACTGCTTGGTCACCCTTAACTGCCCCCCTGCCTGAACACCCCTTAGTGCCTCTGTATGCCAGCCTGATCGCCCCTAAACTACCCCCTCTGCCAGCCTGGTTGCCTCTTACTACTCTCCCTGCTGCCTTGTTTGCCCCCAACTGCCCCTCCCCTGCTGGACTGGTCAACCCATGCAGCCTGCTATTCAGTCGTTTGGTCATCCCTCACTACCCCCCCTACCAGCCTAGTCATCCCACACAGCCTGCTTGTTCAGTCACTTGGTCATCCCTCACTAACCCTCCTGCCAGCGTGGGTTAGTGAGGGATGACCAAATGTGAGGGTGTGAAAGTCAATCTGTATATTACCTGTTTATTATATAGGATTGTTTATCTCCATCTCATAGTCTATACTCTAAACAGGCTAACTCTCCCCCATCTTCATTGTTTTACATAGAGCAGCCTATAACACTGAAATAGTTCTATTAATTTTTTTTCTCATGATTTGACCATACTAGAGGATTTTCTTCCCACCCCCACTTTTTACCGTAATTCAGCCTTTTCAGCTTCAATGTGAAGGATGGCCATTGTCCGTTCATAATTCTTCTCAGGACTATCATAAAAATTTCGGGCAATCCATCTTGATATAGGATGCTACAAGAGAAAATTTGTGTAAAATTAGTTTCTGAATAATATTTTGCCTTTCCAGCTTACTATTCTGTAAAATGACAATCTCAGATAAAATAACACTGACCATGTGCAGACTACTTTATCCATTAGCTGCATACTATTCCCCTCCATTTTATGGAAACAAACTGCACAAAGTTATACAGTTACTAAGCAGCAGCATCTGGACTCAAACCAGGTCTGTCTGACTCCAAAAACCTGTGGCAGATTTAGGAGCTAAATCCAGGGTTTGGTGATAAAAAAAAAAAAAATGGAGCTCTTTCTATCAGTTAGGAAAGATAAACTAATTGTATGGCTTATTTTAAGATTTAATAATGAAGTACTTCCTCCCCAAAATATAATTCACTCAATTAATAAAACATGATAGGATATACTCAAATAAGGCCACTCACTACAATACTTGTAAAGGCAAGTAACAACCCATCTTGGATTTTAGTAGCAGTGTCTCTGTGTGCGAGCAGTTGGGAGCCGGTAGTCTGGATTGTGAGAGGGATGTCTGACTGCACCCCAGATTGGAGAGGGTGCAGGCTGGGCTGAGGGACATCCCTACCCCCATAACACAAATTCTGTGCACTGGGCCTCTAGTAAAATAACCATAAAACTTAAAATAATAAAACAATGCAGAAAATTACCAAAAGAAGCTCCTTGTAAAAAGTGAGCAGAAAATGTATTCATCTACTTGTTATAAAAAACTGAATATAAAACCCTAACTTAATTGCTGAATTAAGATTTTAACCAGTATACTGATAAGACAGCTAACAGAAGGTAACTTGGTGGTGATTCATACTAACCTTGTAATATTCCCAGTGTTCTGGGATATAGCCTTCTGGAATTTCTGCTAACTCAGCTTCACCTAATAAGAGAAAACAGAGATGTTCAACTTCACCATCAGTAGTTTATAACATTAAGTCTGCACTATGTAAGAAACCAATCTCTTATGATTTTAAAGTGACCTTTTATTTGTATCAATGAAAATATCTACTATTTTAAATTCACTTCAACACGGTTGAAAATCCATTCATTAGATATGAGATGTCTTCTACATGTAAGACATTGTCTATAGGATTATATGAGAATTTTGCATTTTGTGTTTATACAGTCTACCAAGATATAATAAAAGACATACTATTCCTTCTGGCTTTCTCCATACCAACTAAACAAAATATTCTTGGACTCAAGATGTGAGAAGTACTTTGAGCAGAATTTCCTATAAAATTTTAATATTTACTGCCATTCACAATTCCAGTGTGAGTGCTGCTCATCCCCGTCAGCTGAGCCGCTGCGGACCCGCCCTCTCAGCGGCTGCTCCTGGTGAGGGAGCACCGTTCATCCTGGTCAGCCAAGCAGCTCCTGCCCTGAGCGTCTGCCTCCTGGCTGTCAATGCATATCATAGCGACTGGTTGACCAGTTGTTCTGGTGGTTCTGCCTTTCAGTCACTGGGCTTTTATTATATAGGATGTGTTCTAAGATGGATAAAAATATTCTACCATCCCTTAGTCTCTCTTCCACATATCTCTTTCTATTTCCCTTGTACTGTCTTATCAAAGCTGGGTTTGGAAAAAGAGGAGGAAGACAAGGCTTCATAAAGCCTTTTATAAGGCCCCTTCAGAAATGATGAACTAAAGCTTTAGGAAGAAACCAAAATGTTTTTTTAAAAAAAATCATTATACACTATTATGGAATAAGATTTAGTTATTTTAAAATAAATTTCCATGCTTATGTTTATTATTCAAAGAGCTTTTCCCTATCCATAATTATTTTTTATTAATGTACATAAGTTTCTTCGATTTGTTCAGAGGGAGGGACTTACCAATGAATACATTCACCAGAGTTATGCCAATTATAACCGGAATCCCAGTCAAACAAATGTAGAATTTCTGTCAAGATTAGTAAAAAAAAAATTTTCAATAACCATTTCCTAACACTCTTTCCCACCCTTAAATTGTCCTTATTACATGATTTCCTTATATTACTAATAAAATAAACTTGCCAAATTTGAGATGCAGCATCAAATGCTTTATTTCTGTAATTTTCTTTTGCTCTAGTTTTTAGATGCCTAAATTTAACACCAAAAATTAAAGAAAAAAAGGGATTAACTGTACAAGTATTATATAATATACACTATGTAAGTGATTTTGTTATTAAAGCAATGTAACGAAAGTTAGAAGTTTTTATATTAAGAAAATTACATATAGCATTGTACACCTAAAACCTATATAATTTTATTAACCAATGTCACCTCAATAAACTCAATAAAAAAGTGTAAAAACATCAGGTTGATTTCAGCCACTGTATAGAACCTGAGTTGGCCGGTGAGGGGAGTTAGGGGGGTTCCAGGCCTGAAGGGAGGACAGTTGGGGGGTGGGGAGAAGACCAGCAGGGGAGAGCAGTTAGGGACGATGACAAGAACAGTGGGAGCTCAACCAAGGGGATGGGGAGGGGCTGAGCACAATGACAGCGTGAAGGAAGGTCTAGGGGGCACCATGCTCAAATGCTGGGTCACGGCTTTAGGAACAGCGACAAAGAGCCCAGATAGTCTTCCATCCTCTACACCCTACTTTCCATTATAGAACCTTGCATGAATAATAAGTACCCTGCTTTACTCTCTGAATCAATGTTCCTAAGAATTATAGAAATAAAATGATCTCTCATCATAATGGAAGGCCTTATTTGAAGAAAGACTTCAGTTAGTTCTTTGGCAATTTAAAGAATATTTTAATAATATAAATAATTATCCCCAAATAAATCTATTTTCAAAATTCTGTAACTTATAGATTTTTATGTTTTGTCAGGGAACACAGACTTCAAAACCCCATAATCCAGAGGAGAAAGGAGTGGCTCAATTTTTAACCTCCAATAGCCTCCCATAGGCATAAATCCTTTTTTTGAAGGAAAAAAGGTTAACTAATTTAAAAAGAAATTTAGTAACTAATCAGACTTTTGAGAAAAGACATATGAAAATGCAAAATGAAAGATGTTTTCTACATAGGCCAAAATGGCCTTCCTACTTACATAAAAATAGTTCAACAAAAATTTTAACTCACCAGTAAATTCAAAAAACGCTTGTCATAGAATCCAGAAGGTTTGATAACAAACAGTCTTTTCCCATGGTCCGAACTGTGTCTCACAGGAGCTGGAAATATTAAATTACCCTGTTTTAGACAAGTTTCATATCGGTATACTGTTATTTTCTGAGACAAAGTCAGATTATAAGAAAATGTATATGCATAAATTTTAAATTAAGATTTCAAAATGCATGTTCTTTAAGCATTAAAGGCAGGGCAGGTAGGATATCCTTAAACAGAGATTGGCGTTCTGTTTTACTATTGCTTTCCTCATTTTTATTCAATGTTATAAAAATACCTAAACAATTGTTTGAATGTTTCAATAGTAGACAGGAAAGATACTCTTTTTATAAAAAAATATTTTTTATTTATTTTTCACAGAGAGGAAGAGAGAGGGATAGAGAGTTAGAAACATCAATGAGAGAGAATCATCAATCAGCTGCCTCTTGCACACCCGCTACTGGGGATGTGCCCGCAACCAAGGTACATGCCCTTGACCGGAATCGAACCTGGGACCTTTCAGTCCGCAGGCTGACGCTCTATCCACTGAGCCAAACCGGTTCCGGCAAGGCAGATAATCTTGGTTTACCCTCTGCAACAAATTTTGCTAATGCTGCAAAAGAAATAAATTTGTTATGCCATTCCATATGAGGCAATAAACACTTCCTACAAAATAGATGGAAAGACATTTATTCAACATATATTCAGCAGGAATTTGAACTTGTTACAAAAGTAAAGACTCTACATAGCTTGATAAAATTCCTTTGTAAGCCATTTCTCATTCCCAATATCCTCCTCTTCAAATACTCCCGATGATGGTATTTAATCAAACTTTGCTGGAGATAAAGAGAGGCAAAATTTAACTCCTGGATCTCCTTTCTACACCATTTCCTCCCTTGGAAGCCTGGAAAGATCACATGGGCACTGCAAGCCCCTCTTCTGGAAGCAGAAAAGGCTCTGTTTCGGCTGGGTAACTACATTCTACATCCTTTGTTCAAGCTTCAGTGTCTGGAATGCGCTCCCCTCTACTGGACTCTGTTCTTTGGGCCCAGATGACATCTTATCCTCCAAGAAACCAACGTTCTTCCAACCAGATGAGAACGCTCTTACCTTTGAAATACTGTTTATTCTAGGGAGGTGTCTAATTCCCTTCATTCTCCCAATAAAATATAAATGTGAAGGAACTTTCAATGTGTGAAAGAGGAGCTCTTCTCTTAATTTTGGTATCACCTGCAGCAGCTTGAAATGAATTTAGGAGGTTAATTCACAAAAGAATTAGAAGCTGGTATGAATTTACTAAGTACAATTCATACTACTAAAGCTGTGACAATAACAAGATAAGAGAATTTGACAAAGTATGTATTTCAAGAAATCACTTGAAAGTTATAGAATTTTTTCGCCGAAACCGGTTTGGCTCAGTGGATAGAGCGTCGGCCTGCGGACTGAAAGGTCCCAGGTTCGATTCCGGTCAAGGGCATGTACCTTGGTTGCGGACACATCCCCAGTGGGGGGTGTGCAAGAGGCAGCTGATCGATGACTCTCTCTCATCGATGTTTCTAACTTGCTATCTCTCTCCCTTCCTCTCTGTACAAAAATCAATAAAATATATATATATAAAAAAAAGAAAGTTATAGAATTTTTTGTGTGTGAGCTATATGGAAAAAAATGGGCTGGATAATACTATAACTGCAGACTATGTGCAGATCCTTTGCTAGGCCTATTGTCCAAGAGGGATACAGACAGACCCTACTGGAAGCAAGACACTAGGAGATTAACAAAATTACAAATCTATAGGGACAACAAAGGAAAGAAATACGATGCATTGTCAGAAAAGAACAGGCTCAGGAGTAAAGTTCATGTTTAGACAGGATGGTCTGTGTGTGGGTGAGAGGCTGGGGAGAGGGAGCAAGGAGGTACAAGGAAAGGCACATTATAAACTGAGAGAAATATCAAGTTAGATGAATTTGAAATGGGCAATTGATTGATTACACTCAAAAGGTACTGATTACTTAACGCAGTGACCTGCCAAAGAGTTGTCTCGATAGCCCTGGAGGATCAAGACGGCATTCCTGACAAGTCACAAAGCTGCTGCCACGAGAGTGGTGACTGCACTGATGATGAAAATAGGATCTTCCAAAAGTCTTCATACACATTTACAAAAGGCTGAATCTATTGTAAAATGATTAAGTGTGAGTGGAAAGTCCTGCTTGGATCCCCACCCCCAAGGTGGCTCACAAACTTAGAGTAAGAGTCATTGGTGTAATGTGGTTACCAAAAAAAGCCAAGGTAATTTTATCTTAATATGATGTATTAAAAGTTCAAGGTCAAAATGGGAGGAATCCCGGCCTTCTAATCTCCAGGTGTCCCCAGAGTTTTAGAGCGACAACCTGGAGCCTGCCCCCACTTATGCAACCAGAATTAAAAACAACCTGGAAACTGACATATTAAAAATGAAAGAACTGAAGCCTCATTGGTCTACAAAAAAGAAGTCTGGTTAGAAACCAGAGCTTTTAAGGAACTGAAGGGCTGTCCCATGGCAAAAGGTATAGACTATTTATTCTATGTTGAGCTGAAGCAAAGACCTTCCAATGTGTGAAAGAGTAATTTAGAGCTTAATACAAGGAAGAAGTTTCTAACAATTTCAGTGGTTGAAAGTAAAAGAGCCCAGCCAGTGTGGCCCAATGGTTGAGCATCGACCCATGAACCAAGAGTTCACCAGTTCGATTCCCAGTGAGGGCACTTGCCCGGGTTTCAGGCTTGATCCCCAGTAGGAGGTATGCAAGAGGCAGTCAGTCAACCCATGTTTCTGTTTCATCATGTTTCTACCTCTCTACCCTTCTCACTTAATCTCTCTAAAAAGCAACAAAAACATACAATATTAAGTAGTGACTCAGGTATCAGTAATGGGGATTAGTATATTATGGTGTGTGTGTGTGGGGGTGTTGGTCTAGAGCAGTGGTTCTCAACCTTTCTATTGCCGCAACCCTTTAATACAGTTCCTCATGTTGTGGTGACCTCCAACCATAAAATTATTTTCATTGCTATTTCATAACTGTAATTTTGCTACTGTTAATGAATGGTAATGTAAATATCTGTGTTTTCTGATGGTCTTAGGCGACCCTGCTAGTGGTAGCAAAATTCTCATATGAAGCAGCAACGAAAATAATTTTATGGTTGGGGGGCACCACAACATGAGGAACTGTATTAAAAGGTCGCTGCATTAGAAAGGTTGAGAACCACCGGTCTAGAGGATTTTTAAGGTCTTTTTCCTTAAAGAATGTGAATATATGGACTCTCTTAGAATAAAAAGACATACTTTACCAACTCATTAATTTCAATCATTTCCTTCCATTTCCAAGAACTCATTCTTTAAAAAAAAAAATCTGGCCGGGACCGGTTTGGCTCAGTGGATAGAGCGTCGGCCTAGGGACTGAAAGGTCCCGGGTTCGATTCCGGTCAAGGGCATGTACCTTGGTTGCGGGCACATCCCCAGTAGGGGGCATGCAAGAGGCAGCTGATCGATGATTCTCTCTCATCGATGTTTCTAACTCTCTATCCCTTTCTCTTCCTCTCTGTGAAAAATCAATAAAATATATATTTTAAAAAAAATCTGTTCTTATTGATTTTAGGGAGAAAGGAAGGGAGAGGAAGAGAGCAACATCAATTGGCTGCCTCCTACACACACCTGCTGGGATCAAGCCCTGACCAGAAATTGAACTGGAACCCTTTTGGTGCCACAAAAACAGGCATCTTCCACCACTTTATAAAGCCTGGAATTTCTCAAGTATTCATTATGTACAACTAGGTTTCAATAACAATTTTTAAAAATGCAAATAACCTCAGTTGTTAAAAAAGGTATTTAACAATTGTGATCTTTGTGTGGATCAAATAAGATACTGTATGATTTTATGTATATGTGTTTCCAAGAAATTGAAAATTGGTCATTTTCTTTCCCTCATTCTCAGACTATTCCCAGTTAATGTCACTTTACATCAACGGTTTAAAGAACGAACATCCCCTAGAATCCATCCAATATTCACAAGCATTTTCCTAAAACACACTACTGACAGTGCTCTTTTGCTAAAATTCTCTACTGCCTACAAAACAGATAATATAATTTGGCTTTATATTCATTCCCTCCCCTCACCAACTAGGTCCCAAATTCCCTTTTTAAAAAAAATTTATTTTTTTATTTTTCAGTCGCTGTCTACATTCAATATCATCCTGCATTAGTTTCAGATGTACAGCACAGTGGCCAGAAAATCATGTACTTTACAGAATGGTGGCCCTCTCCCCAACCCCCGTCCCACCATGCTTCAAGCACATACCTGGCCCCAGATGTAGTTATTAAGATATTATTGACTATATTGCTTATGCGGTAATACACATCTCTGTGACTATTCTCCAACTTTGCTTTTTTTTTTTTTTAGCCTTCTCTCCCAACAGCTGCATACCCCAAGAGCCCATATTCAAATATAACAAAAAACACATCCTTTACTTTTCTGTCTGTATTTGTAGTTGTTCAAACTACCCCAGAATCCAGTTTACATGCTTCATCTTCCATGCCTGAATGAATGCAGGGCACTTTGATTACATAATAATTTTAATACTATTCTCAGTATTTTTTAAACCAAAAATATGCACACTAAAAACAAAACAAAAACCAAAATATTGCACATCAATCTTCAACATTAAAATTCACTGCAGTTACAGAGGGAACTTAAGCTCATTTCTTGAATCCCTTGCTATTTGACATTTTATTGATAATTTAATTAAAAAGAGAAAATATTTTAATATATTGTTTTCTAAGAAAAGTTTTCCACCGAGGGTAACACAACAGTACTAGCTGTTTAAGAAAATGTAGCCACAGGGCCCTGTAAAAGGCTAGTGCTAGGTGCTGTAGATTTTTCCCACTTGCTCTATACAACTACCTTATAAGGTAGGTTAAAATTACCATTCCCCCTCCCTCCCCTCTCTCCAGTTCTAATGATAAAAAACAAGCTCATTTTGAAATGACATTTCTAAAAATATACAAAATACATTTCAGGGTTCTAAAATAATTGTCAATAGGAAGATTAGTTTTATTTTATTTCCCTGTCAACAGAACAAGCACACTTGTAATAAGCATCCCCTTTTTCAGAGGTGAAAAAAAAGACAAGTTTCAAGCCGTTAAGTGCCTTCCAGTTAGCTTCCAAGATGTGAAGGCCCAAGGTCACACAGCTGCTAAGCTGCGGGGCCGGGACTGGAACCTACAATCTAACTCCAGAGGAAACAAAACAAGGCTCTCTACTCTGCTGGAGCTCACATTCTCCTAGGGGGCAGACATCAACAATAATATAACAGATTAAAACCTCTCATTGCACGGTGACAGGTAAGGCTTCAAATGCAAAACACCTCTGAAAGCAGGTGCAGCTGAAACACAGGAACCCTGGGCACCGCTATTACATCCTCTCCTGCTGCCCGTGGAAAGGGCTCCGGCGACCTGATCCCTCCAAGAAAGGGGACTGTGCTTACGGGGGCGGGGGGCGGGGGGGAGAGGAACGGGGTTTAACCTCGGTTCATCTCCGGCTAGACGTGATGAAGTGCCATCCTAGCGAGTATTTAAAGAGGAGGATACGTGCCCTCAGAAATGGCTTACAAAGGGGTTTTGTCAAGGAATGCTGTTAGCAAAGCAGTTTTGTAACAGGGTCTAATTCCTGCGGGAAATTTGTTGACTACTCCCCATCCTTTGCGGCAAATCCCGATGCGTATGCCTTCTCACGAGCCTCCGCTGTCCACACATCACTGGGCGTCACTGAGCATAACCTCCCGCAGGGTGCGACCAGAACCTAGTTCCCGGGGGAGAAAGGACGAACCTGATGCTCAGGGGTTCTCAGCTCTGGGCCTCTCCGACCTCAGCTTCGTCCGGAAATTAGCCCACCTGGGAAGACTGAACGGTCCCGTGTTTCACAGACGCTAACGCGTAGTCTAAACCCTCAAACCCACGCCCGCAAGTCCCCGGCTCCCTCCGGGTCCCGCCAAGGTCACCCTGGCAGAGTCCTCCTCTCCCCGCTTCCCCTGAGAGCGCATCCCCCCACCCCCCGAAGCCAGCACCCACCAACAGCCTTCGGGAAGCCCCGCGTGAGGAAGGCCCCGGATCCGAGCCGCGGGCCCAGGCGGCGGCCAGCCAGCGCCGCCAGCGCGGTGACCGAAGCCCGCTGCAGCAAGCTCATGGCCGCCATGGCTACTCCGGGCAGGAGGTCAGGCGGGGGAGGGCGACGGGAGCCGAGAGAGCCTATTTATCATCCGGGGCAAAGACGGGAGGCAGCCATGTTGAGTGAGGGCAAAAGTTCTTCCTGTGCTCTGCTTCCGGTCGGAGGGACGCACCGGAAGTGACGCACCGTTGACGAGACGCGGTTTGCTGACGCGAGGAAAATGGCTGCTGCCAGGTTCGGCGTGTTTTGCAGGAGTGTGTCCGCCGCCGTGAAGACTGCCAGGTCGTTCCTAAGCCCCCAGGGCCCTGCTGGCACCGGGTAAGTGATGGGAGGAGGAGGTTTGTCCATATCGAACAGCCTGGGATCGTGTCTGGTTGCAGAGATGCTGACAACAGCTCAGGGATGGATGGAAAGGTCGCCGGATTGGCTGGAGCCCGAAGCCAACTCTGGGAGGAAGGAGTGACTTCGTATCAGCACTCTATCAACTGAGCCAATAATCCACACACTGAGGAGTTTAATACGGATACCTACCATTATTCCACTACTATTATAGCCCAAATTCAGATGTCCTCAATTGAGTGTTGGTCAGGGTTTGATTTTGGTCAAGGGCATGGACCTGGGTTGCAGGTTCCTCCCCAGCTTGGGCCCTGGTGAGGGCGCGTGCAGGAGGCAACCAATTGATGTGTTTCTCTCATATCAGTATTTCTCTTTGTCTTTCCCTCTCTCTTCCACTCTCTCTGCAAATCAATGGAAAAATATCCTCGAGCCGGGACCGGTTTGGCTCAGTGGATAGAGCGTCGGCCTGCGGACTGAAAGGTCCCGGGTTCGATTCCGGGCAAGGGCATGTACCTTGGTTGCGGGCACATCCCCAGTAGGGGGTGTGCAAGAGGCAGCTGATCGATGATTCTCTCTCATCGATGTTTCTCTCTATCCCTTTCTCTTCCTCTCTGTGAAAAAGCAATAAAATATATTTTTAAAAAAAGAAAAAAAAATATCCTCGAGTGAGGATTAAAAACAACAAAAAACATTGTTCTTGTTCTTATGAGATATATGCTGAAGTGTCATGACGCTTGCGCCCAACTGAGGACGTTTCCCTTTCTGTCTCATGTTGCTGTCACCTCCTGTGAGCTAGGCTGTACATGGGGTCTGCGGATGCCCAGTGCTGGTTGGATTAAAGGGAGAGGTGTAGAAGGAGCCATTTGGCTGTGGGAGTTGGGGGAAATCTCACTGAAGAGCTGTTGGCTTTGGAAGGGTCAAGCTTGGATGGATGGATAAAGAAGGGGCCTTATTATTTCTGGGATGTGTCACAAAGCGGTTGTTCAGTGATGCTGAGTGAATAAATGAAAGTAGCCAAGTAAATGGAAAGTTGCCCTTGCAGGTGGGAGAAAGGAAAATCCTACACATGGTGTTTATTATTTCTGGGAAGTCAATAAAAGTCAGACTGATCATTTTTTACTTTAGGAGGGTGTATGTTTCCTCCCTCTTATTTGCTTTTGTCTGTAATGGTTTGAGTTTTATAAATAGTTGGGTATGTCCGATTTTTTTTTTCCCTAAAAGGAAGTAATGTTCGATTTTTTTTTCCTAAAAGGAAATAATGTATATGTTCTTGAGTCCAGCACAATTATTGAGCATCTGTTATATTACAGTGTTCCTTCATATGACACATAACTTTGGAGATAAGCAATATTGTTTTCATTTTGCAGAGGCTCAGAGTTGGTAACTTGATCAAGGTGGCAAACTTGAATCCATTGTCTCTCCCATCTGGTTTTCCTTTTTCCTTAAAAATTAATGTTAGATTTCTTTATTAGAATAAATTATGCTCATTTGCAGACACTTTGGAAATAGGGTCAAGTATTTTGGAGAAGAAAACTAAACTCTAATTCTAGCACTCAGAGATAAACAGATTTCCTGCCCTTTTTAACTTTGCGTATATAAAAACCAATATGCAAAGTGTCCCCTGGGGAGTTCCACTGACTGGGAGGTAAATCATGCGCTATTATGTGTGCTGACCACCAGGGGGCAGCGCTGAATGAAGGAAGGCCCCAGCCAGCAGCCACTAGGAACTCTACCCATTCACGAATTTTGTGCACTGGCCTCTAGTTTTAAAATAAAATAATGACTATATTTACCTATATCATTCTTGTGCTCTACCCTTGTCTCCCCAACATTTTAAGAATTTCAGAACAGAAAAGTTGTACCAAGAATAACCATATACTCTTTATCTATATTAATCAACCCTTAGCATTTTGTTACATTTTTTATCGCTTTATATCCAGACCTTTTCCCCCCAAAACTATTTGAAGCACGTCGAATTGCAAGCATCATGACACTTCAGCATATATCTCATAAGAACAAGAGCAATGTTTTTGTTGTTTTTAATCCTCACTCGAGGATATTTTTCCATTGATTTGCAGAGAGAGTGGAAGAGAGAGGGAAAGACAAAGAGAAATACTGATATGAGAGAAACACATCAATTGATTACCTCCTGCACGGCCCTCACCAGGGCCCACGCTGGGGAGGAACCTGCAACCAGGTACGTGCCCTTGACCAAAATCAAACCCTGACCAACACTCTTATCAACTGAGCCGATAATCCACACACTGAAGAATACGGATACCTTCTATTATTCCACTACTATTATAGGCCAAATTCAAATGTCCTCAATTGTCCTGATAGTTTTTTTATTTTTTTATTCAGGGTCCAAACATTCATTTTTTTGCATTAGTTGTCATGTGTCTTTAATATTTTAAAATCCAGAATGGTTTCTTTTTTCTTTTATGACATTGACATCTTTTTTATAAGATCAATCTTTTATTTTTTTTATTTTTAAATATATTTTATTGATTTTTAAAATTTATTTATTTTTTATTTATTTTTTTACAGAGAGGGAGAGAGAATTAGAAACATGGATGAGAGAGAAACATCCATCAGCCGCCTCCTGCATGCACCCGACTGGGGATGTGCCCGCCACCAAGGTCCATGCCCTTGACCGGAATCGAACCCAGGACCCTTGAGTCCGACGCTCTATCCACTGAGCCAAACCGGTTTCGGCAGATCAATCTTTTTATTGATAGAATATCTCTCTATTTGGGTTTGTCTGATTGTTTCCTCATGATTAAATTCAGGTTAATTTATTTTATTTTATTTTTTTTTGTAAAAATGTAACACTTGTGACATGCTTCATTATTGTATTTTAAATTATTTACCAGGTCATTACTGCATAATAGATTATCATATGAACACATAATTTTTTAAACCACTCATGGTTGCACATTTACAATATCATCTTTTTAATATTATATATAATGTTTTAATAGATATTAAAATTTATCAGTTTCCATCTATGATATTTCTTTAGTTAATATTTCTAGATATGGACTAAATGAGTTTGGGAAGAAACATTGGGGCCTCTAATACATGTTGCAAAGTTAACTTTCAGAATAATTTTAATCTACTCATATGTCCATTAGCAGTTTATGAAGGATCTACATATGTTACCTTAAAATATATAGGGTAGCAATTGTTTATGTGTTCAATTGCAGGTTTTCCCTTATTCTGTTGCCTAAGAATATACCAAGTGTCACATCTTTACACCAGTGTAGAATAATTCATACCACGTTATCAAGGAAAGGACTGGAAGAATTTTTTGATGACCCAAAGAATTGGGGAGAAGAAAAAGTGAAATCTGGTGAGGTATTTGGGTTGATTGGTGTTAAATATATTTTTTTGAACCATCCATCATATTGGGATTATTTATCCAGTTTAGGAATGACTTGGGTGTTTCTTTTTTTTAATTTCCTTTAGGAATATCTATTAGTGAAAATTAAAAGGACAATATAATAGAGTTAATTGTTTCTTGGCAGCTTGGCAAAAGGTTTAGAAGAGGAGGAGGCTTAAATTTTTTCACTAAATTGATGTTTGGATTTGTTTTAGATTTTATTTTAAAAAATATATATATTTTTTTACTTTCTTAATTTCTAGAGAGAAGAGAAGGAAGGAAAGAGATACAGACAGATAGACAGACATATAATAGATTTGTTGCTCCTCTTGCTTATGCATTCAGTGGTTAATTCTTATAGGTGCACTGACCAAAGATTGAACCTGCCACTGTGGTGTATTGGTATAACACTTTAACCAAGTGAGCTACCTGATCACGGCTTAAATTTTAATTTTTAGAGATGATTGAAAATTAATTTATAATGATGTATTTTTACCTTAAACTATGAAAACATTCTATAGTCATACTAACATTTTTTAATGCTGTTGCCAGTCTCATTACTCATATTTTCACGTGTTCGCTAATTTAACCCCAATTTAATTCTAATTGCATTTTATACTATAATATAATAAAGCTATAATATATTTTACAGATAAGGAAACTGGTTTGAAAGATTAAGTAATTTGCCAAAGGACATATAGCTAGAAAATTATTTCATGTTAGGAATTTATTATTTTAATAGGAGCTGCATGGACCTGTCAGCAGTTAAGGAACAAAAGTAATGAAGATTTACATAAACTTTGGTAAGTATACAGAGTCCATGAACATCTAGATCAAGCATGTCAAACTAAAAGACTAACATGGAACAAATAAGGTTTAAGTTTATGTGGGCTGCAAAAAAACAAAAGCTCCAATTTTCATAGAAATTTCGATAGAGACATGCTGAATATAAAGGGCTGAAATAAATGAGTCATTAACATAAAATAATAAAATATATTAATAAAAATTAATATTTTATCTTTAACATTAACTTACCAGTCACTGAATAACTGCACAAATTACTAAATGTAATCAAATAAACCTATTTTTCTTGTTCTCCAAAAGCGAAATATTTCCTGTTGTACACAACAAACAAGTCAGTCCAGGACTAGTTAGGTGGCAGTCGGCTGCTAAAATCTTAGTTGCTAGTATTAGTGGAGAGAGTTGGTGCGCCTGCACGGAAGGCGTCAAAGGCGCATAAAAGAAATGAATGCAACACGATTATAGTAATCAGTCATTATCGAACATTGTAGTTTATTATTAATAATTATGTATAAGGATATTGTAAAAATTAAGTTACAACATTTTTATTAAAACATTTCTTACATACTGTTACATTGGCTGGGCCGCATGCAGGCCCTGAGTTTGACATGCTTGCTCTAGGTGTTTGAAGCAGTTCAGTATAACAAGGTTTGATCCCTGGTTGGTGTGTGTGTGTGAGGCAACTGATGAATGTTTCTTTCTCACATCAATGTTTCTATCTCCCCCTCTCCCTCCCTCCATCTCTCTACGATCAATACAATACAATAAAATAAATTTTAATTGCAACTTTATTAATATTGTCACAGAATAGCATTACAAGCTCTGGGTTTTGATATAGGTATGTCCTACTGAAAGAGAGGAACATGCTCCTCACTCTGGAGCAGGAGGCCAAGCGGCAGATACTACCAATGCCAAGCCCGGAGCGGCTAGAAAAGGTAAGGCTGTGGGAGGCTGGCTGTATGTGGGATAAAATTAACAGGAGTGACTGAATGGCTCCTGTATTTCCTGTCAAATAGATGTTTTTTATTTCTGTTTGATGTTTAGTAAATATCAGAGTTGTGTAACCGTCACTACTGCCTAATTTCCATCACCTCAAACGGCATCGCATGCCCCTCTGCAGTTATTTCCCATTCCTCCCTGCAACTCCCAACATAGGGGAGGACATGTGTTTCTCTTTCTCTTGGGTAGATACCTAGCGGTGAAATTGCAGGAGATATTTGATGGAATTGCTCTTGGACAAAAATAGTCATAGGTTTTCTGTGGCATAATCTTTATATGTTCTCTTTCTTTGGAATTCTATTGTAGGAGATTGAAATTATATCTTTATATTCTCTTCTCAGGTAATAGAATCCATGGATGCACTAGATAAAGTTGTCCAGGAACGAGAAGATGCCCTAAGGCTCCTTCAGACTGGTCAAGAAAAACCTAGACCTGGTGCCTGGAGAAAAGACATCTTTGGAAGAATCATCTGGTACATGGTTGACATTGTGGCTTTTCTAAGATGAGAGTGCAAGTCCCTTGCTGCTTCCCCTGTCCAGTATCTCACTGTATAAGGTGTATTAGCTATAGCAGAGATATATCTAATATAAACAGGTCCCAGAACCCCTTTGGAGCTCCAGAATATGAACGAGGGTAGCTTTATCTCGTAATCCAGGCATCCCACTCTCATAATTCACTTATCTAAAGGTGCTTTATCACAGTGGTTCTTAATCTTATGTGGATCATATGATCATTAGAGGATTTGATGACTGTTCTAGATCCTTTCTCCAGAAAAATGTATAGTGTATATGTAATTCAGAGGGTGATGAATGCCATAAAGCTAATTTTAGGACACATGCCTGTCCTCTACTCATTGAGAACCTGGAACTATTGAAAAGAAGTTTTTGAGGAACAAGGCCACATGAGCCAGGATAAGCCCTAGAACAAGTTATGAAACAGTTTAATCTTGTCTCCTAAGTCCAGTTCCCAAAGTCCTACCAGACCTTGGGAAAAGATAGATAATAAACATTTATACTGAGGTAGAAATAATGAAAAAGACCCAGTGAGTTCTCTCTCTGCCTGGGGTTTATTTACTTTTAGGGTGAGTTGCCAAAAGGAAACATTGTTAATAGAATTTTAAAAATTGGCCAGCAAAATGGAGAAGGCATTTTGGGTGGTTGAACCTACATTACATAATAGTGCTTACTCGTTTGATGAGTTCTTTAGTAGAGGTTGGGGAAACAGCTCCTTGGGCCACATTTAGGAGAGTAGCTGTGCAATCTTTAACCATGTAATCCAATGCAGAAAAGAGGAAAACTGCTAGAACATCTAACCAAAAACTCTGAACTGTTTTATTTTCTACTAATTCTTATTTGGATTAATTCAGTTGCTGTCAATTTGGAAAGGGTGGGAATGGGGAGAGAATCTGTGTTAATTTTAGAATCTTTTAGGAGTGTATTCTCTTCTAGGGTTTTTATTTTGCTTTCGATTTATTGACAACATATTTAATCCAAAGAAAGCTAAAACCCTGTGTCTGTTTGCAAATGTATTAAATGTTTTCTGTAAGGCGATACCTTCTTGCTTTCTTTGCAGGCACAAGTTCAAGCAGTGGGCTATACCTTGGCACCTAAATAAAAGGTACAACAGGAAACGGTTCTTTGCAATGCCCTATGTGGATCAGTTTGACAGGTGAGCACAAGCACCCTTACTAATGAAACATCCTTGCATCAAATGACATGCCTTCAGCTTTTACACAAATAAATATGTTCATTGTGGAAAAATAGAAAAACCAGGTAAAAAAGAAATTAAAGTTTTGTATAATCTCGCCATCCAGAAATGTTCTTCTATTAACTTTCTAGTGCAGCGGTCGCCAACCGGTGGTCCGTGAGGTCTGCAAGGTTGGTGTCCGCTGTTCTAGTATGCATCCTTTTAAAAGTTTTATTGCCTTTTGATTCTTCAGTCTATATGTAAGCAAATGGTTAAATCTTTCCATAATGTTAAAAGGAAGGTCCAGATACTTTAGTTGCATAAAATGTGAGCTATTGTTATTGCAAGGTTGATGAAATCCCCAGAACTTCCGTTGGGAGAAGAAATGCAAGTTTGTGGTTTCCAGGGAAAGGGTGCCACTCCGCTCCTTAACTGTGGCTACCAAAAAAGCACAAGAGTGTGGAAACCACAGGGTTACCAGCTAAAGATGCGAGAGATCAGAATTCAAGGCAGGAAAGCAGCTGGAAACGTAAGGGGAAATCCCAGCAGCACAAGGACCACAGCTTTTAAGAACTGCCTTAGATAGCATGTCCAACTTCAGCAAGATTTCTTCAAATACTTTCTCCCTCAAAGCTTGTTTCCATACCCCAAAATAAAAAACTATAAAAAATAAACAGGAATGAAATGCATATTTAAACTGATCTTAAAGGTATTTTAGCATGCTTTAGAGTCAGTTTAAATTTTATCTACCCCACAAAACCAGCTCTCTTTCCTTATTTCTAGTTTTATCTGTTGTGGTGGTGGTGTGACTTATAGTAAGAAATATGTTTACTTTGTCCCTGTTTCTGTCCCAGAGCTCCTAAAACCATTTCTTAATGCCAGAAAGAGAGAAAAAGATGCGAGGTTGCAGTTCTTCCATGCGCGTGGTGTGTGGGAAAGGTCCGCTGCTTGCATCTGTAGACGCTTTTGGCGTACAGAGGGTTAAAACAATGTATGATAAATTATGAAGTTATACTTACAGGCTTTATACTCATTCTAATTATTCTCTTTTAGAAACTACCTTTTTTAGCCTTCAAAGCATGTACTGTAATCTCTTGAATAGTCAAGAATAACCAACCTTTATTTTTTCAGATATGGTTATTTCTTACAAATGACCAAAATTTAGTTGGAGCAAAGATTAATGAATAGAGGGTAATCCAGTTTCAACTTTGTTTAATCTTACATTTACATTGTATTTAATTTACAAAGTATCTTGTGTGTGTTTGGGTTTTTGTTTTTTTTATACCTGTTGTCTTTTCCCAAATGTAACCTTCATCTTCATTTTTTGTGACCTCCACCATAGAACTGGCATATTAGTTATTCAGTACTTGTTTCTGTATTAAATTTTATATTAGCTTCAGTGCTGTAAAGGCTTGGCATCCATAAATTTGCCATTTACAGTTTTGACAATTCCTACGTGACCATATAGATCAACATAATTTCACTGAGGTACAAAATGCCTCATGCCCTGGAATGCTGATAGGTACAAGCAATCTCACTTAGAGTGGTGAATCTAAACATCATCTCTAGGCTTGGCTTTATTCTCCCTGTTATAGGGGAAAGGATATGCTAGACTGAATGCTATTCAAAATTAGGGAATTCCCTAAAGTCTCAGGATATATCTCAGGATGTAAAAAATCTGATGTAGTCATTAAAATTGTAGTGGTTTTAAATAAGGTAGAAAGATAGATCATTCTTTACAGTTGTCAGAAGATCTGTTCATTCATTCTAGACAGGAAATAAGGAGAATTGCTGCAGGGTTACAGATGCTTTGATTTCACATTTATCTTTGACCTGTAGGTTTATAGTGATTGTTCCAGTTTTATAATATACATGCCACACCTAATATCAAGACTGTCATGATGCAGGCTTTAAGTAATTGATTTGAACATAGTTTGATAGTATTGACTAACAGAGAAAGATTTCTGAATAATTTGCTGTTACTTTTATTCTAGACTGAGACTGGAGAAGCACGCCCGGATCCAAATAAGGAAGAGAAATTTAGAGAAAAAGAAAGCAAAACTTCTTCAGGAAAAGTTTCCACATCTTTCTGAAGCCCAGAAGTCAAGTCTTGCCTAAGATGTCTGAACTCATAATTTTACCATTCTGTTTTTCTTACATAAAAAGTCTAATAGAAAAGGAACTGTATGTCAGGTGGTTTATAAAGAAACCGTTTTTAGTGAAATGACTACCAACTGTTTTAAGTGTTAATATGTCCTGCTAATTTTGGAAGTGGTCATGCTTGTATCAGATTTTTAAAAAATCAGGTATCAGGTTCAGGTTACATTTCCCATTTTATAAATTTCTAGTGGCCTGGTGCACGGAATTGTGCGCATTGAAAGGAAATTAATTAGAAGAAAATTTGTGCAGTAATTACATTACTAAAAAGTTTGCATTTCAAAATAGTATATATAATATCCTACATAATAAAGAACTAATATGCTAATTAGACTGAACAGCAGAGCGACCATCTGGACGACCTTCCTGATGAAACCAGGGCTGTGAGGGCTGAGCCCCTTGCAAGAATTTCGTGCATCAGGCCTCTAGTAGTATAAAATTAAAACATGCGTGCGTGCGTGCGACTGGCACCAGTGAGAGCTTTATATGTTATCACACATGCACAAGTCAACATTTATTTTTAAATTGCCAATATGCATCTATGTGCCAGATGGTCAGACAGATGGTTGGTCACTTAGCCTTTTTATATATATATATAGATGACATCTAAGCAGACTTCAGTATCATCTATATCTAACAGGGGAAAGTAAAGTTAATTACTATAGCAAAAGCAATTCCACTAACATTTTTATTACTGTTGTTAATAGAACGTGAGGTGCTGTGGATTAGCTGCTGTTAATAAACAATGAGTACTTTCACTGAAAATGCTCATAAATACATTTAGTATTTAAATTATCAAGTCACAAGACAACGTAAGTCCAAAAATGTTTCTGGATGGCTAGCAATTTTTATTAAGGTAAAAAGCATAGGCAATACGTTTTACTCATCAATAAAAAGTAACTCTATCAATCCACTGGTAATTAATCCTAAGCAGAGTTGGAAAGCATTTGACTAAAGTAAAATATTTAGAGAAAATAGACATTTATATAAAATTATAAAATGCTTGTAATAAGAATAAGTGCATCCCAAGGAAAGCACAAACTTATTTTAGTTTATAGAGCCAGTTAAAGCCTTGAAAGTTTTAAGTGGAAATTGAAATATGCAAAAATGTATAAACATTCTACAAAAGATGGTCATTCTTTTCCTGAGTGTACTAAAGCTATGAAACGTAAGGTGACAGGAGGTGGAGGTGTAGGAACACTCTTCAAGGGCATTTCCTTTCTACACACTGCTTCCCTCCTTCTTCATATTCTTGTTTGGAAATCCACATCTGTTGAAAGGTGCCCTGTGAAATAGAAAGATACATTTTATCTTTATTTTCACAACTCCTACTCTGTGAAGAACTCTTGTTTCTGCCATCCTCCAGAACACCCACAAACACTACTTAAGGTTAGAAAGAATATTAAACCCTCTTATACCAGTTACACTGTCATACGGATATAAAGAGGCTATGAAAAGAAGGTGGAGAGTTGGCTATGATGACTTGGTGCCAATCTAAGGCAACAACAGAAATCGGTGCAAGGCTTGCACCAGGTACAGAACTGAAAAGATGGTCCAGGATTGATTAACGGTAACATTTAGAAAAGTGCTCACCAGAAGTAGGATAAAATTTAACAAGTACACATACATGATAACAAGCACTTCACCGAAGACACAAGGTGAAAGGAGAAAAGAGACCAAAGGAAGACGGAACCTGGACTACATGACTATTTGAATGCATTCAGTCACTGCCGAAGCTGGTTTGGCTCGGTAGAGCGTCGGTCTGCAGACTGAAAGGTCCCAGGTTCAATTCCAGTCAAGGGCATGTACATTGGTTGCAGTCCCATTCCCGGTAGGGGGTGTGCAAGAGGCAGCTGGTCGATGTTTCTCTCTCATCTCCGTTTCTAGCTCTCTATCTCTCTCCCTTCCTCTCTGTGAAAAATCAAAATAAAATTTAAAAAAAAGAATGTTGAATGCATTCAGTCATGGTATCTCGTTTTGGTCTGAGATCTCCTAAAAGACTAGAAATAGAACATAGACAAGAAATACACGCACGGACAGCTCCAAACATCTAATTGCTTAAAAATGTTTAGCATAAGTATTTGGTGACATTTAACTGATTGCTCTGAAGGGAAGAGAACATTCTCCAGTCTAGGGTGCAAATAAGAATAAGGGGTTTTTTTTTCTCTTGATACAAGGCAGGCGCCAGTCTAAGCAACATGTAAAAGCCAGCACCATGAGTAAACCATTTGCCCCAAGAATCAATTCTTGACTTCTTCTACCTCACCAAAAGGCCAGGGAACAACTAGAAGCTGAGAAAAATTGATTCAATTTTAAATATGCTGCAGGTACATCCTGACAGTGCCAGAGAGAGTACAATTGGAAGGGGTGTGAATACGTTAACAGATTCCCATCAGTTTGAGAGGGGAAACTACTTTTATGATAGTTATAAAATACAAAGATAAATGGTTGCATTGGAATTATTTTTAGTCTTTATTAAATTTAGTGTTTTCAGTGGCATATTTAAGTTAAATCATTCAACACAAATTGTTAGGTATTTTTCCAAGTAATTTACTCACCAGAGAAGCTAGAATAGAGCCACCAATCCATGAACTAAACCTCCGCTCCACTGTTGTATTATTTGCAATCAATTTCAACCGCATACTCTAAAATTGAGAGGGAAGAATAAATATTATTTACAAATATTAAATACAACAGGTGATTTAAATTAGTAAATTTACCTTTGAGAACTTAATGATTGATTTAAATACAGATACATGTTTTTTTTGCAAAAGTTATGCTTGTAGGTATAGGTTGACCCAGTGTTTTTCAACCTTTTTTGGGCAAAGGCACACTTGTTTCATGAAAAAAATCACGAGGCACACCACCATTAGAAAATGTTAAAAAATTTAACTCTGTGCCTATATTGACTATATATAAAGTAATTCTCTTGAATAGGAATCAAATAAACACAAAGTATTTTATAATTACTTTATTATGAAATATTAAGTAAACAAAATAATGAAAAATTATAAAATTCTTGTCTTGTCTGCACCTATGGCACACCAGGCAACATCTCGCGGCACACTAGTGTGCCGCGGAACAGCGGTTGAAAAACGCTGGGTTGACCTATAGTTTAAAGTAAACTTTGACTTTTAATGTGTAATATTTAATAAGAAAGTAAATTATATAAATCTTAGAGAACTTATATACCAAAGAGTATGGTATTTATACTTTTTATACCTTATAACCACAAACATATATTTTATACTATAAATCAGGTACAGTGCTAAATGCTTCATATAGGACTTCATGTCTTCCAACAGCAAGTCCAGCTATCCCAACCTGTGGCTCCTTCAGTAGTCCACAATTTTCTATTTCTCTTCAAAGGTTCATGCTTTCCTAACTTAGTTCACCCCTCCACAGCACACACCATGTTCCCCTTAGAAAACAAAATGCACACATCAGCTCTCAGGTAAGGTTTTTATTCATACTGGTTTTTTTTTTGTTTTGTTTTTTAAATATATTTTTATTGATTTTACACAGAGAGGAACTGAGAGGGATAGAGAGTTAGAAACGATGAGAGAAACATCGACCAGCTGCCTCTTGCACATCCCCCACTGGGATGTGCCCGCAACCAAGATACGTGCCCTTGACGGGAATCGAACCCGGGACCTTTCAGTCCGCAGGCCACCGCTCTATCCATTGAGCCAAACCGGTTTCAGCATACTGCTTTCCTTTCTAATTACTGTTTCTGTTTTAAACTAACTCTCGATAAACATTGTGGTTTTTATGCCTGAGCATTATCACTCTCACTTGTTGAATCAAGAGATTTTTACTCTCCACCTAGAAATTTGCTACTGGGGATATTTCACAAATGGTTGATATTTTCATTATTCTTTTTAAAAAAAAATATATATATATATATTTTATTGATTTTTTACAGAGAGGAAGGGAGAGAGAGAACTAGAAACATCAACCAGCTACCTCTTGTACACCCCCTACCGGGATGTGCCCACAACCAATGTACATGCCCTTGACGGGAATCGAACCTGGGACCTTTCAGTCTGCAGACGGACACTCTACCACTGAGCCAAACCAGTTTCGGCAGATATTTTCATTATTCTAAACTAGAAACCCAGTGCACAAAATTCATGCACAGGGGGTGGGGGTAGGGAGTGGGGTGTCCCTCAGCCCAACCTGCACTCTCTCCAATCTGGGACATCCCTCTCACAATCCAGGACTGCTGGCTCCCAACCACTCGCCTGCCTGCCTGACTGCCCCTAACCACTTGCTCCAAAGATCTGCCTGCAACCTGATCACCCCCTAAACAGTCCCCTGCCAGCCTGAATGACACCTAACTGATCCCCTGCCGGCCCAATTGCCCCCAACTGCCCTCCCCTGCAGGCCTGGTCATCTCCAACTGCCCTCCCCTGCAGAACATCTTGTGGTAGCCACATGGGGGCAGCCATCTTGTGTGTTGGGAGTGACTTTCAATTTGCATATTATCTCTTTATTAGGTAGGATAGGAACACAGTGTGTCTTTTGCACAGTGAAATAAATGGTGGCAGGAATGGACTATCATATGGGTGGGAGGGGGTCCTGGGAAGAGGAAGGATGAACGAAGGATTTTATAGGCGAGGAATTGGTTGGTATCATTACAATGGAATTTTTCCCTGTTATCCCATCAATTTTTCATTGCCTCCTAATGAATAAGGATAGTTAATATCTAACTGGTCTTGATAGCCCATGTCTATATTCACTATTCTGGGACTTTCTAAGAAATCCAATGTTAACTTAGGTATATTCCAGGTCAGACTATATTTCCAAGAACGAAGTAAATACAAGGCAAGAATCAATTGGTGCCTGTATCAATATTTAAATAACACAATTACAAAAATTTAGAATATATAAAATACTCCTTTATATGAAAAACCAAGAATATCAAATATGCAAATACTATTAGGGTCTATATAACACCTAAGAAGTGTTTTAAGCCAGAACTGGTTTTGCTCAATGGATGAAGCATCAGCCTGCGGACTGAAAGGTCCCAAGTTCAATTCCAGTCAAGGGCATGTACCTTGGTTGCAGGCACATCCCCAGTATGGGGTTTGCAAGAGGCAACTGATTGATGATTCTCTCTCTTCGATGTTTCTAACTCTCTATCCCTCTCTTTCTTCCTCTCTGTAAAAAATCAATAAAATACATTAAAAAAAAAAAAGAAGTGTTTTAAAATAACATTACTTTAGAATACCCTACAATAAACTATGTGATAGAAGTTTTAAAATCTAAAGGTTATGACTGCTATTTTGTTATCAATGTACCCACCATGTAAACTCCCTTCTCCCAAAACCAGGTTCTTCTATCCTTTTAAGTTACCACAAGGCACACAGTGATCTTTTAAAAATAAACATAGGAATTCTTCAATCATCTGCCAGATTCAATCCTTTAAGTGCACAGTAAGCAACTCAATGTGCTACAACTGTGTCCCCAAAGAGATACACTGAAGTTTTATCCTTGGTACCTGTGAATATAATCTTATTTAGAAACAGGATCTTTGCAGATGTAATTAAGATAAATTAAGGTGAGGTTATACTCGAGCAGGGTGGGCCCTTAATCCAATATGACTGGTGTTCTAATAAGAAAAGAACAGACCCACCAGGGGAGAATGCCATATGACCATAGAGATAGACACTGAGGGTAGAAGATGTTATGGGAAGCTGGCAAACCCTCAGATGCCAGGAGGAGTAGGAGGGCAGGAAAGATTCTCCTCTGAAGGTTTTAGAGAAATCATGTTCTGCTAACATGTTAATGTCAGACTTCTTGCTTCCAGAACTGAGAGAAAATAAATTTCCATTTTTTTCTGTTTTTTATCTTAAATAACAAAAATTTATTGTCTCACACTTCTGGAGGATGGAAGTCCAAGACTAGTATGTCCGCTGATTCTGTTTCTGGTGAGAACTTTCTACCTGGCTTATAGACTGCCGAATTCTCCCTGTATCCTTACATGGTGGAAAGAGAGAGGTAAGTTCTGTTGTTTTATTATATGCATAAATGCAAAACCCATGGACACAGACAATGGGGTGGTGAGGGCCTATGTGGGAGAGGATGGGAGCAGGCTGGAAGAAGTTAATGGGGAAGAAAGAAAGACCTATGTAATACTTTCAACAATAAAGATTTTAAAATAAAATAATAAAAACGTATTAAAAATTTTTTTTAAGTTCTGTACTTTTAAACCAAACACTTTGCAGCACTTTGTTTCGGCAGCCTTAGGAATCTAATACATCAGCCATCTAACCAGCCATATCACTCTCCCCACTTCTGCATAGATAAGCCAACTATTTGGAGATACTGGAATATACTATCTTCCCTTCATGTTGTGCACACGGTTTTCCCTCCACCTAGATGTCCTTTTGTAAATTACTTAACTCCTATCCAAATAGCTTCTTCACTGAGGTTAGTGTTCCCAAGACCACCTGGTTCATAACATACTGAACCACTGAGCACATTCCAGTCATTCTGTCCATGTCTACTTATCCTTGCAGACTCAGCACACGCTGGGTGGGGACTAGATTTTATATCTCCAGAGCCCAGCAGACTATAGGTATTTAGCTATAGAATCAATGACTAAAGTGTTAAATAGTACAAGAGTAACAAATAGATGTCATCTAGGAAAATTTGATTAATAAGGGATATTAAGCCTGGCTGGTGTGGCTCAGGAACCAAGAGGTCACAGGTTTAATTCCTAGTCAAAAGGTATTCAGGAGGCACCAATAGATGATGTTTCTCATCAATGTTTCTATCTCTCTATCCATCTCCCTTCCTCTCTCTTTCTAAAATTTTTTTAAAAAACAACCACTTAAAAAAAAAAAAGAATATTAACTTTATTGAAGTTTTATTAACTTTATACTGTACCAGGTATATACAAAATACCTATGTATTGCAAAACAAACCTTTAACTATGAAATTTCACCAGTGTGGACACCTGTGACTGGAGAATACCACTAAAGAACAAAGAAAACTTACTGGGGGAGTTTTCTGAGAGAGTTCTCTATTCAATCTGTCAGTAAAGCTCTGTATTAGCGTGTTTCCTCCTGCCACTATGACACTTCCATAGAGACCCTAGGATACAAAACAAAAATAAATTAGTTCCAAAGGTTTCCAACAGTTTTTAAACACAACAAATAAATCTATGTCCACCACTACAATTTCCCTTTCTTTTTAAATTGTTTTACTCCTATACAGACCTAGTAGCTTAGTCCTGTGGTTCTCAATACTGGTTACACATTCTATTCATTTAGGCAGATTTTAAAACACCAATGCCCGAAGCAGTTAAATAAAAATCTTTGGGGATGGAATTTTTATTTATTTATTTGAGAGAGAGAAGAAGGTTGGGACGGAGGGAAGGTGAGATATTCTTTTGAGTTAATAAAGTTTTGGTAATAATTATAACCTGCAAGTCTTTCTCTACAAACAAATGTAAACCTCCTTTTGCTCACCTCTGTATTGGCTACAAATGAGCCTAGGGTAAAAATATGGTACACTCAATCTGGTAATCAGATTGGTGTTATAATATGGAGTACTTAAAAGTTAGAAAAGCACAAAAATATGAAAGAAATCACTTAACTACACTTCTTACAAAAACTTAACCCTTCTCGAGTAATAAAAGGAAAACTGTACTATATAGACTAGAAAAAAATCACCAATAACATATATTTTGGTTTGTCTCCTTTTAGGAAATGCCTAGAACAGCACTATCCAAAAGAACTCTGTGATGACAAAAATGCTGTATATCTGCACTGTCATACAGTAACTATTCGCTACATTTTCCCTGTGGCTTGTGCAACTGAAAAACCGACTTTGAGCCGAAGCCGGTTTGGCTCAGTGGATAGAGCGTCGGCCTGCGGACTGAAAGGTCCCGGGTTCGATTCCGGTCAAGGGCACGTGCCTTGGTTGCGGGCACATCCCCAGTGGGGGGTGTGCAGGAGGCAGCTGGTCGATGTATCTCTCTCATCGACGTTTCTAACTCTCTATCCCTCTCAATTCCTCTCTGTGTAAAATCAATAAAAATATATTTAAAAAAAAGAAAAAAGAAAAAGAAAAACCGACTTTGAAATTTGCATTTGTTTTAATTTAAATTGCACCATGTGGCCAATAGATACCATACTGGACACCACAGATCCAGAGTTTTGCATTTTTCCTTTTCGAGTACTCCCATCTTTTTACATATTCTGTTATACAGTGGACTTCAAAGACAATGACCCAAACTGCCAACTTAAATAATGACCTGGGGGCATTTCAGTACCCAGAGATATCTCCATGCCATAAACAAGAGACTGGCACTTACTGGTCTGATATCAATATCGCACATTCCAACACTTGTAGTGACAACGTGACTGACTCCCAGCATTGTGTTTCCTGATAATCCCTACAACAAAACAAAATGGAGTCACAGAGAACTTCAAGCAATAAAGTGTGTCCAAAAGCACTTAGTATTATATAGGTATTCTAATCACACAAGATCTCTACATATTCAGGAAAACCTAGGCTAATTATAAAATAAGCTTTAATACCTTTACATTGGAAGGGTCAAATAATCCTTCAGGAATCTTTAACCGTTCTGCTCCAAAATCACAGTTATAGCCATTAGGGAATTCATAATGAACAGTTGGCATCTGTGCAGCTACTCTGAAAACACAGTAAACATCATTAAACAAAAGACAAAGACAAAGACAAAGATAATCCTCTTCAAAAATGATAAACTACTAAGGAATCAACTTATATGAAAGAGTGAGATCTATTTTCTTTTAAAATGTTATTCCATATTTCTTTTGTTTGTTTTTTTAAATCTTATTCCATATTTCTTAACAACTTTTTACTTTCAAGCAGTTAAACATATTCTACAATTCTTTTTTTATCTAAACAAATCAACTTCCTACCTCATTTAGGAAGTACTCAGTTTTTTAAAAGATTAGTATGAAGGTTTTAAAGAGCTATTAAATTCTATCTTGCAGGCAAAATAATACATACTGTTCATCGTAAGTTGAATCTGATACTTGAAGTACTGAAGCTTGAAAATCCTGGATAACACACTATGGGTAAAAATAAGATAGTTTAAGAAAGTTATTGAGATTTGTCTTTGCACTCAATACTTTTGTAACATTATCAATAAAATACTTTTCTTAAGAAAACTGGGCCATATTCCTGGATGGGTAAGAAATTCAAGGGTATAAATCTATCCAGCAAAGACTCTCGATTATCAAAGAAACCCCAATTATAAGCATTTGAATTAGAAGCTAAAATGCAGAACATTTAAGTAACAACAATATGAAACAAATGAAAAACTAAGAACCCTTGTATCAAAACACTGTTTTTATTTTAAGAAAAGCTTAGACTTACTATTAGAAGACAGATTTCATCATTACCTGTAATATATGCATATACTGTACTTGATGTAACTTTACATGATGCATATACTGTACAACAATTTTATTTTTAAATATATTTTTATTGATTTCAGAAAGGAAGGGAGAGAGAGAAACATAAATGATGAGAGAGAATCACTGATCAGCTGCCTCTGTATGCCCCCTCAACCTCGGCATGGACCCTTGACCAGAATCGAACCTGGGACCCTTCAGTCCACAGGCCGACACTCTATCCAACTGAGCCAAACTGGCTAGGGCACAACAATTTTAAAATTTACTTTAAAATACCTGTCCTCTAGATTTGCTAAGGATAAATATTGTCTAATATCTAGTCCAAATTGCTAGTCATTTCCACAATTTTTCCTTGTACCAAACACATACAAGAAACCTTTATCTTTAGGTGCTAAAATGTCAGATAGAATATATGTCTGCCATAGTGAATTATGACTTTAATATACTTTTACTGTGAGAATTGGATGTTTATCTGTGCTATGAGAAGTTGTTTTACTAACCTCTCCCCCTTCAGTAAGTGCTATGTTCAGAAATGGATTTTTAATAAAGAGAATATCTCGTTGGCTCCCTGCTATATGAAAAAAAATCCATTTTATTTTTTTAAGAGAGTGGCAAGAGGAAGAGACAGTGAGAGAGAGACATAGATTGGATGCCTTCAGATGGAGCCAGCAACCAATGTATGTGCCATTGACTGAAATCGAACTTGAGATCCTTCAGCCATAGGCTGACACTTTATCCACTGAGCCAAATGGGTTAGGGCAATGGTCAGCAAACCGACGCTCGCGAGCCACATGTGGCTCTTTGGCCCCTTGAGTGTGGCTCTCCACAAAATACCACGAGTGGGCACGCACATACAGTATGATTGAAACTTCGTGGCCATGCTCAGAAATTGGTTTTTGGCTCTCAAAAGAAATCTCAATCGTTGTACTATTGATATTTGGCTCTGTTGACTAATGAGTTTGCTGACCACTGGGCTAGGGCAATAATCCACATTTTTTTATATGGCCGACTGATTATTAGACAAGAGAACATACTTGAGCCACACCAGGAGATTGCTATAGACAAAAACCATTTCACCACCAAAAAGAAAAGTTCAGAATAGCATAATGCTTGTTTCCCCCCAAAACCAAAGTTCCTTCTAAGTCTCACCACAGTAATCCAAATGAATACATAGTAGTTTGTTGACATATCTGTTTGGCAAGTATGAAAAACAACCCCACCCCCAAAAAAGCTATTAATTCTGTTTCTAGAATGTCATATAAAAATGTAAAGATTGAAAAGTGTTCATATTGTATTCAAAGACTTACAGCCTATAAGTCATTCATGAAGAAGATAAGATTACTTACGTTACACATATAATTGTGCCAAGACCTTGTGACCTGCGGCAACTTCTCTTTCCTTTTCCAGTTTGCTGGTGATCCCTCGCGCACAGGTTCCTGGGAGCCAAGAGCATGCGCTAGGTTAATGGAGCCCACAACATGAGGTGAAGAGGTGGAGATAAATTCCAAAGAGGAAATTCACCAGTCATCACTTACTTTTGATGCAATCATATATGGAGGAATCAGTTCTATATTCATTTCCTGGAAGAGCTCTCTGCATTGCATGGTAATAAAGTCTCCGGCGAGAGGGGATTTTACAATGCCTATGAAACAGATTAAACAAGGCTAAGAGAACATTCCGCTCAAACTCCCTGGGACAAATATCCTCTGTGGATTTATGTGAATAATTATTTATAAGTAGAAATAACAGAACTATCCCTCAAAGCACTCATGAAGCCACACATGTTTTTAAATCTACATTATATACCAACAATTTTTTTTTATAAATATATTTTATTGATTTTTGTACAGAGAGGAAGGGAGAGAGATAGTCAGAAACATCGATGAGAGAGAGTCTTCGATCAGCTGCCTCTTGCACACCCCCTACTGGGGATATGCCCGCAACCAAGGTACATGCCCTTGACCGGAATCGAACCCGGGATCTTTCAGTCCCCAAGCCGACGCTCTATCCATTGAGCCAAACCGGTCCCGGCTATATACCAACAATTTTTAAAAATACCTCTAAAAAAGATATTTGGACTTGGTATGCTTTGACAGCCCAGTGTCCTCATCTGTATCCTCATGACCGCTACCACTGTCTCAGAGCACACAGGTTAATGCATTTACCTTGCTGAAGGACATAGCCATCGTGCACTGGAATTGCAGTGGTGTGAGTGGCTCCACTGTCCAAAATGAGCCCAGTCGAACGCCCATTAGCAAATCTAGTTTAAAGCATTAAGGGAAAGAAAGGATCAAGGCTCCTGAAAATAAAGTTTATTATGAAGGAAAGGTTTTATTAAGGTCTTTGAAAACAGAGGCATGTCCAGTATGAGTCTGATTTCAATAAAGGCTGGCATTCCTTAGGCACAGAAGATTCACAAAGGTGAACCATTTACCTTTGCCCTAAAGAATATCCTGCTTAGTGAAGTAGAGATCAGTAAAGAAAGCTGTAAAAAGAATAGTTCGGGATGCCCTGTGGGGTATTAGAGACCCCGTAACCAACCGCTGGGAAATCCAAGTGTAAGCTGAGGAGGGGAACCTGGGGAAAAGCAAGAACGAAAAGAAGGCCAGGAGGCAAGAGAGCAGGTGAGGTCAGGCAAATGCAAGTAGTTCAGCATAGCCTAGTAGAAGAATGAAGAATGTGGACAAGGATTCTAGCTTAGAGAGGTTTGCAATTAACAAAGACGATAAGAGCTGCAGTGTGAAGAGTGGCCAAGGTAAGAGGAAGGGTGGCAGGAATCCTGGATAGAGCTTGCACCTAATGCAAGGGTAGTGGATAGAGAGAAATAAATGGATTGAGAGATGATGGGGCGGGGGAGATAGAGGACACATAGCTCTTGATGACTGATACACTTGAATTAAAGGAAAAGATTTCTGGTGTGGGCAACTGGGAATAGGATAATACACAGATGGAGAAGGAATAAAGTCAGTGTTGGACATAAGTTTAGAGTGCTTACAGAAAATGTACTAGTTGGCAGCTGAGCTTGGAGCTCACAAGAAAGATATGGGAATTGTCACCGAAAAACAGGTACCTAAGTCAAGAAAATGGGTAAGTTAAGCCAGAAGGAGCATGCCAAAAGAGATGAAGGACTTAAGGGCAAAAACACAAAGCAAACAAAGGCAAAAAGGAACAAGGAATGGGTAGAGGTGGTAAGAGGGAAGAATTCTGAGAACATTAATCAGCGGCCGCCAACCTTTCGGACCTCGCGGACCACTGGTTGACGACCACAGCATTAAATGGTCAGAAAGGAGGTGATTTATCTTTGCTATTACTGGTACTCAACTGACGCTTTGGCACCTTTTTACTAAAATCATTCTCCAAAGTATGCGAGTTGGACAGCATAAAACTAAGCTTTCCTTACTAGCATAAGGTATCAAGTACACAGACAGTGTGACTGGAAGATATGAGAACTCATCTATCATCCATTAAGTCAGATAAAAGAATGGTACTTTTCTTATTATTAGTTTTATAAAATATAATTACCGTTTTCATAAAAATATTAACATTAATATATTTATTGTTTGTATTTTAAACTGAACTAGCTCTGGCTGGTGTGGCTCAGTTGGGTGAAGTGTTGTCCTATGCACTGAAAGATTGTGGGTTTGATTCCTGGTCATGGCACGTACTTGGGTTGTGGGCTCGATCCTCAGTTAGAGCAACTAGTTAAGTGTTTCTCTCTCACTTCGATATTTCTCTCTCTCTCTTTTCCTCTTTCTAAAATCTTTTTAAAAAGGCAAGAGAAAAAACACCCCAAAGTGTTCAGTTTTGAACAAGCGAGAACTGGCTCATGTCTGTGCTTAAGGAGCACCGCCTGTTTACTTTAAGAGAAAACCTAAGCATTATTCTTTCAAGGATACGCTGTCAAAACTGCAGTTTTGCAAAGGAAGAATGCTGGGATGTTGTAGTGCTCAAACATCAACTCTGTCAGTTTCTCTCTCTTGGCTCTAGTGTTCCACTGGAGAAGAGGGAAAAAGAAATGCAAATCACTTGTTTGAAAACTTTTATAAAATGTTGATTTATCTCAAGATGCATTATAACACTATATTAACAAAAAATGTTACAATAAAATAAAATACCATGACAAATAATCTTCATAACAACAAATACTTGGTTCAATTCTATTGGTAGTTTTAATAACTAAATATAAATAAAAATTTTATTATTTAATAAGAGGTAAAATTATCTGCTGCAATAAGTTCTAGAAATGACCACATTTTAAATTAAAGGAATTAAAGTATTATTAAATCTTAAATCTATGAATCAAAATCATAAATATGAATATTAAACCACCAAATTCTCATACTTAAGAGTTGCTACTCCTTTTTAAAAAAAAAAATATTTTTATTGATTTCAGAGAGGAGGAGAGAGAACAGTGACCTCCTGGTTCATAAGACCACACTCAACCACTGAGCCATGCTGGCCAGGCTACAACTGCTATTCTTCAAAGACTGTAGAGGTTAGAAACAGTAACAGAAAACTGTTAATTTAAGCGTTTCAGAAGAGACTTCAGTCTAGCAATTTGCAGCCCTTGTTCAACATTTGACATCTCTCCTGGAGACCTGAGTATAAAAGCAGATACGGTCTGGCTGGTGTGGCTGGCTCAGTGGTTGACCACGGACCTATGAACTAGAGCACATGTGTCAAACATAAGGCCCGCGGGCCAAATCCGTCCCGCCAGGCCTTGCAATGTGGCCCACACCGCGCTGTCATCACTGCACTCCGCTGCGTTTCCATCACAATGACAGTTTATGACTGTTCAGTAAACCATTCGGCCCGCGATTTAGGCTGGATTTGAGATTTTGGCCCCTTCTCTGATTGAGTTCGACACCCCTAAACTAGAGTGTCACAGTTCAATTCCCAGTCAGAACACATGCTCGGGTTGTGGGCTCAATCTCCAGTAGGAGGTGTGCAGGAGGCAAGTGACCAATGATTCATCACTGATGTTTCTATCTCCCTCTTTCTTTCTCTTCCTGTTTGAAATCAATAAAAATATATTTTGAAAAATAAAATACTTAATACTCTAAAATAATTTCTAAACATTTTTTTAAATAAAGAAAGCAGATATACACTACACTTGTGACACAAGAGACAATTCATAAACCAAAATGGGAAGCAGCCTAACAATTCTAATGTTAAATACATCCCTAGGGGGGGAAAAAATACATAAAATAACCACCAAAACCCATTAGGGTGTTTTGTATTATTCTTTGAATATTTTACTTATTGAATATGTTGAACTTATAATATCATTTAAAAATGAATACCCCTTTCCCTAATTTTCAAACAAGAATATATGAATTTCTGTCTCTTTAAAAAAAAAGGAAACATTTTCAAATGAATGGTGGCTGGAAAATGAGAAAAAATTAGAAAAGAAATTGTTCTTACCGGAGCTTCTGACATGAGGACAGGATGCAGGCTGGGTTCTGATTTGACATGCATTTTGTAGGTATGATCCAAAATAGCTTGGAAGCTATCCCAATCTTCAACTAGAATATAAAAATACCTTCAAAACAATGCTGTTGGAGATATACACAGTATCTTTTTTTGACATTATTTTTCCTTATCTTATCCTTCTCCTGAATTTTCTCCTACCTCCCTACATGTTCCTTCACATTCACCTTCCTCGTCGCCTCTAACAGTTAAGTACAGAACAAGTTTTCACAAGGAACCACATCTTCAACACTTATATTTCTAATTCTTTCTAGGTAGTTTAATACAGCTCCATGTCTTAAAATCTTTCTCACCTGCTTAAAACATCAGCACCTATATTTATCACTTTGACTCAGTAACACATTCATTTCCTTGCTGTGCAGAAAAGTTAACACAGCAGGCCTAAGAAAGGCCTGGCTGCAAGGCTGAACCCTGGCTAGCATTTGGGGACTTGACTGGTAAACAAAACAGTTCCCTACAGAGACATAAACACAGCCTAAATGAAAACATAGCTCACTGTGCCTCAACTGTCTGTGCAAAGAATGAGGAACACTTTCTTTCCTCCTGGGAGTCTGGGATCTTGGTACTGGCTAGGCACTAGTACCGACATGACCAGCCCCCAGTAAGAACCCTGGGTACCGAATCTCTAGTGAGCTCTCCTAGTTGTAACAACTTGATGATGGGGGAACATCCTCTTTTATAACTGTACTGTGAGAAGGCTCTTGGAAGTTTGTACTGGTTTCCTCTGGACTTCACGCCCCCCTTTTCCCTTTGCTGATTTTGTTTGTATCATTTTAGTGTAATAATCTTAGCCATGAGTACAACTATATGCTGAGTCCTATCAGTCCTCCTAGGGCACATGTGTCAAACACAAGGCCCGCGGGCCAAATCCGTCCCGCCAGGCCTTGCAATGTGGCCCGCACCGCGCTGTCATCACTGCACTCCGCTGCGTTTCCATCACAATGACAGTTTATGACTGTTCAGTAAACCATTTGGCCCGCGATTTAGGCTGGATTTTAGATTTTGGCCCCTTCTCTGATTGAGTTTGACACCCCTATCCTAGGGCAAACGGGCTGGCAGGACATCAATCAGGCTGGCATGGAAGTGGTTAGGGGGTGATCAGGCTGGCAATCAGGAAGGCAGGCAGGGGAGCAGTTGGGAGCCAGCAGTCCTGGATTGTGAGAGGGCAGTCGGACATCCCTTGAAGGCTCCCAGATTGGAGAGGGTGCAGGCTATGCTGAGGGACAAACCCCCCCCTCCCCCTCCCCGCCTCTGCCCCCGTGTACAAATTTCGTGCACGGGGCCGGTAGTTTAAAATATATTTTTATTGATTTCAGAGAGGAAGAGGGAGATATGAAAACATCATTGATGAGAGAGAATTGTGGATTGGCCACCTCCTGCATGCCCCCTACTAGGGATCGAGACCGCAACTCTGGCATGTGCCCTTGACTGGAATCAAACCTGGGACCCTTCAGTTCGAAGGCTGACACTCTATCCACTGAGCCAAACCAGCTAATGTTACATTTGCTTTTTAGACCATAAAACTTATTTTTTGCCTTCTATTCCTACCTCAGTGCATGGTACCCTCAATTTGGTCACCCCAATCAAAAATCCAAAAACTTTCTTAACTCTTCTTTTTACCCCTCCCATCACTTAAGTACCATTTGTCTTCTGGATATCTCTGAAAGCCAACTCAGTATCCACCATAAGTGTTATAATTTAAATCCTCATATCTCCATCTGACTCCCACTCACTTAACTGAATCTCTTGTTTCTAGTATCTCTCCCTCCATTCTATCTACTGCTGTCAGAGTAACAATTCCAGCTGGCAAATATGAATATTCACATCTGTTTAAAATCCTTTGGGGTTAACCTTTACTGCCACCTTATTATACCCCTGGCACAGTTTACAATCCCTTTTATGACTGCTTTGCCTACCTTCCCTGCAACTGGCCATACGGTACCCAATGCTACAGCTATACATAATTGATGACATTTATAAACATGTAAGTTTCTTCCACAACTCCATTTCTTCACACATACTAGTTGCTCTGTTTTACCTATTCTTGTCAGGCTAATAATTCTTTGTCAGTGATCAATATTCAGTACAAAAATTACCATTATCACGGACCCCTAATGACAAAGTTAAATGCCATTCCTCTCTAATTCCACAGACTATCAGTCATAGCTATATTACAGCATTTATCTACACATTTGTATTTATACATCTATCCTCCCTATCTATGAGTTTCTTCAGGAAAAGAGACATGTTTTATGCATCTTTGTATTCTCAGTGCCTGGAACATCAGGTTGTGGAATGAAAAATAGATAAAAAACGGAAAAATTGTTAATTTTCAACTTAAAGAAAATGCATCTAAAATGCTTTACATCTAAAATGCACCCAGTATAGTCTATTTTATAATCAATTACATAGGGAAAAAAAAACCCAACATCATACCCATCCCATTTTTCAGTGGAGAAATGGCCTCCATATTCTCCCTGGGAACACGCAGGGCATTAGTATCTATGTAATAGGTGGGTCCGCCTTGTTTGCCTTTATCACCATCTATTTCCATCAATGTGCTTCCATCATCTCTTTCTACCACCATGCCAATAGCTGTGGGAAAATCCACCTGTAAGAGTCCAAAATATGATATATTAGTTTTATCTGCTTTTATTAAGGAATCATTCCCTTCTCCCCCAACTAATGTATTTTATCATATGTGAATCAGAATTTCTACATGAATTTAATTCTACATGAATGGCCTTACATATCCAATTAACTCTAATATTTTACCTTGGGACAGTCCTCACCAGCATAACCAGCTCTCACAGTATAGGACCCAATGTCAAAAACAAGGGCTCCAACTTCATCTGAAAGATAAGAAGATAATTAACATTAAAAACTTACAAGCATATTTGCTTAAAATGAGAATGTATGTGAAAGCTCTATAAAAATTAAAACAGGCATTACATTCATACTATTACTATCTTGAACCTAGCTTTATTTTAAATACACATTGCCCAGCTGGTATGGCTCAGTGGTTGAGCATCAACCTATGAACCACGAGGTCATGATTAGATTCCCAGTCAGGGCACATACCCAGGTTGCAATCCCCAGTAGGGGACGTGCAGGAAGCAGCCAATCAATGATTCTCGCTCATCATTGATGTTTCTCTCTCTCTCTTCCTCTTTGAAATCAATAAAAAAAAAAAAATCTGTAACAAATAAATAAATATATCTTAAACTAAAGATTCATTTAATTAAATTATAATGTCATACATGGCATATCAATAGTTTGAATCAGGAAAGAGGTGCTACACTAAAATTGGGTAATTTGAAGAGAGCATACTTATTAAAGGGACTATTTACAAAGATATACTCATAATATTAAAACAAAAAAGACAGTACTATACCCTACAACTTATAATATCAGAGACATGCTACCATCCTTAGAATTGAAGAACTGGAGAAGAAACTTATTCCAGAGCCCAGAAAGTTGTGTTCCAAGGGATGATAGGAGCTGTGACCTTGAGTTGAGGGATGGAGTCAGCCTTGGCTGACCCCTTGGAGAAGGAGCCAGGCTAACAAACATACCAACCTCTCTAGTTCCCCTCCCCATGGCTAAGGTGTTCTATAATTTCTCATATAAACTGGGTTATTTCTGAATGTGAAAAGGGTCCCTATTTATTAATAATTGTACTAGGACAAGAGGCACAAAACAGGAAGTATGGTGACTCTACCATTGCTCAAACTAGATGTCAAGGAAGCCCACAGATGTAGCCTGCCAGGCTCAGTACTCAAAGGCCCAGAGAGGGGAAAATGTGTTGGAAATGAATCTGAAGGGGTAAAGAGAAGATATCCAGTATACTTAGGTATGATGTTTCTTATTTTAAGGGAAATATTCCATACAATTAGCAAAAAAACTTAGCAAAATCCCAAGTAGGTTCTCTGAAGAGTAAGAGTTTAAGGTAGGGGTGTCGAACTCAATCAGAGAAGGGGCCAAAATCTCAAATCCAGCCTAAATCGCGGGCCGAATGGTTTACTGAACAGTCATAAACTGTCATTGTGATGGAAACGCAGCGGAGTGCAGTGATGACAGCGCGGTGTGGGCCACATTGCAAGGCCTGGCGGGACGGATTTGGCCCGCGGGCCTTGTGTTTGACACATGTGGTTTAAGGTATAGGTCAAGGAAAACCATTAAAATGAAAGTTATCAAAGTTTACACATTTCAAAGTTTTTAGGACATTAAGTTTCTTGCTGAATGAGAAAGTTAGTAAATTTTTTCACATTCAAATTCATAGAAAAGCCTATAATTATACTTTAAAATTACTTCAGCCCAAACATCATGCCTGCTAAAACAGAACACTTGTATTTTCCAGGCACTGATTTTTCAAAGGATTTTTTCAATTATTCAAAATAATAAATACTATTAACTCCCAAGAAGTTGGCAAAAATTGATAAGTCTGATATGACCAAGTGTTGTCAAAGATGCAGGGAAAGAGGAGCTTTTATACAACTGCTAGAAAAAGCTGTAAATTAGCATAATCACTATGGGCAATTACTCATCATCTAGTAAAGTTGAAAATGTGCATACACAGAAAATACACATACCTTCCCTAGAGAAACTCTCTCACATATATATAAAAAAGATACCTATGAGAATTCCAGTAGCTACGTGATCTTGAGTGATTAACGTCTCTACTTCAGTCTCCTATCTCATAGGATGCTAAAATGATTAAATGTGTTAAATGCTTTAGTGTATGTAAGCACTTCTAACAGTATCTGGCGTATAACAAACACTGTAAATGGTAGCTGCTATGATAATTACTGTCACACTGTTTGTCATGGGAAAAGGTAGAAGTTATCTAATGCTATCTCAGAAGAGAAACAGACAAACTACAGTTTATCCATATAGAGAAATACACATAGTTAAAGGAGTAAACTAGATCTACATTATACCAACATGAATAAACCCAGAAGTATCAGTCTAAAAAGTTAATTATTACAATATGTGTGTGTGTGTGTGTGTTTGTGTGTATCTAACAAACATGATACTACTTAATTCATTATGGATATATACATACTTACTAAAAGTATAAAAATATGCATATGGTATGTATCTGAGAATAATACATACCAACTTCAGTTCAGTGTTTACCTCTAAAGAAGAGAGAGGAACTCTATATCAGTTAACATTTTCTTTCTTTTTTTAAATATATTTTATTGATTTTTTACAGAGAGGAAGAGAGAGGGATAGAGAGAAACATCGATGAGAGAGAATCATCAGTCAGCTGCCTCTTGCACACCCCTTACTGGGGATGTACCCGCAACCAAGGTACAGCCCTTGACCAGAATCGAACCCCAAACCTTTCAGTCCGCAGGCCAATGCTCTATCACACTGAGCTAAACCGGTCTCAGCTGATTTTTATTTTCTTATTCTATTTTTTAGAGAGGAAGGGGGAGGGGAGGGGAAAAAAGGGGGGGGGGGATAGAGAGAGAAACATTAATTAGATGTCTCCCACACGCCCTGATTAAGGATCAAACCTGAAGTCTAGCATGTACCCTGACTGGGAAAGGAACTTGCTACCTTTTGGTGTACGGGGCAACACTCCAAACTTCTGAGCCACACCAATCAGGGACATTTATTTTTATTTTGAAAGGACGTTTCTGTAATTGGTACATATCCACAAAATAATTAATTCTTCTCTATAAATTATTCTGGTCCAAATAATTTGTCTAAAAGCAGAACATTGCATTTGCTTTCACCACAGCATGTAAATTCAAAGACAAATAGTAAGTAAAGTTTACTAATGAGCATAAATTAGTAAACTTTAATACTGATTAAGCAATGAACATAAACTGTGCACCTATGGATGAGGACAATAGGGGGTGGAGAGGGGGTGGAGGGAACCTGGTGGAGGGGGGAAGAAATGAGGAACCTTTGTAATAATATGAACAATAAAGACTGATTTAAGAATTAAAAATAAATAAATAAATAAATAAATAAATACTGATTAAGCAAAATGTCAGGTAAAAAAACCAAAACATTCTTTAAAAAAAAAAAAATGTTTTTATTGCTTTCAGAGAGAGGAAGGGAGAGGGAGAGAGAGATAGAAACATCCATAATGAGAATCAATCATGGGCTGCATGCCCCCTACTGGGGATCGAGCATACAACTAGGGCACATGCCCTAAATGGGAATGAAACCATGACCTCCTGGTTCATAGGTCCATGCTCAACCACTGAACCTATGCCTGCCCAATGAAATGCTTATTTTTTGTACCTTGTTTTGTAAAAAATCCAAGCACCAAGGAATCCAAAATAGGAGAATGGCAAGGGGAGATAGAGGCTTAAAATCAAAACCTCAGAAGTCTAGAATTAAAAACTAAGGAGGCATTCTAATGGATAAAATGCTACTGTTTTAACTATTTGAGAATTTTGATATTTTTCCCCAGAGTAAATGGCTTCCAAGTTTTAAAAAGATGTGATTTCTTTCTTGGAAAGCACAAAGCACTAGTGACAGTCTTCTAACATTCCAATAGGATACAGAAGGCTAGTGACTTTGGAAGGAGGTGGGGAGATGGGCTCACTTTTTTTGTATGGACATTTTTATCATGCAAAAGAGTTTGAAGTAGAGAAGAACCATTAAAGATGCTCACAAGAGCAATGAGTAGGATCAGAAACCAGTTACAAGGTACAGAAATCTGGATGAATTATGCATTAGTCCTAAAGTTAAAGATCAGTGTCCAATCTGGTCAGAAGTTATTATTGGAATGAGACACCTGTAAACTAAAAAGTTTTAACTACAAAGATCTTTTTAATAAGCACACAAGTTAACAATACATTCTAGCCATGGCTGGTGTGGGTCAGTTGGTTGGGCATCTTCTCCTGCACAGAAAGGTTTGCCGGGACGTCAGGGCACATGCTTGGGATGTATGATCAGATCTCTGGTAGGGGGCGTGCCGGAGACAGCTGATCAATGTTTCACTCTCACATCAATGTTTCTCTCCCTCCCTATCTCTTTAAAACTCGATTAAAAAAACAAAAAAGTCTACTGTTAATTACACAAAATTTTGGTTAGTTGCTTTTCACAGTAAACCTTTTAGAAAATGTGACCACTATGTGTAAACCAGAGGCCCAGCGCATGGTATTTGTGGGCAGTATGGTCCCTAGGCCTGGCATGTGATCAGGGCCATCTTACCAGGCTGCCCGTAGCTGGCCCCACCCCCTGCTGCCACCCACCCCCAGTTCCCCATTCACCATTGGTTGATTGGAGCCTGCTAGCCAGAGGGAGGGACTGAGAGGTCAGCCATTCCCACCTGCTCATCAGCCCTGTCCCCGCTGTGGGTCACCCTCTGTGTGTGGGGTGAGGGGCAGGTTGGGGGCCTTAGCCTGCCTCCCCCGCCCCCAACCCCCAGTTCCCCATTCACAATGGGAACCTTCTGACCAGGAAAAGGGTCCAAGAAGTGGTCAGTGTGCCTCAGTGACTTCAAGTGGTTGTTCTGTCATTAGGGTCAATTTGCATTATTACCCTTTTATTACATAGGATACCAGCCATACAGTAACTCAAATAGAAAATCATGCACATAATTTTTGTGATTTTTAAATATTTTTATGCAAAATAGGCTTTAAGACCTATTTACCCAGCAAATAAGAAACAAGATGTTTATTCTGAATACCTGTAACATGAATATGCTGTGGTTCTATACTTGAAAAGTGATTTATGGAAATGTTTTTTCTTCATTCCAGGGAGTCTTAGTCCCCATTTATGAGGAAGTTAATTAACTTTGGTCTGGTTACTTAATCTTTTTTATGCCTCATTTTCTTCTTCACTACAATGGGGATAGTAGTACCACCTCCTATAGTTGTGGAATAACATAGTTGATGAACATACTGAATACAACACATGAAAAACCTCTCGAACGGTTGTTGGTATATAGGATTCACTCGATAAATGTTAGCTGCTGGCATTATTAGTATCCATTTCTACTTTTCCCATATTAAATTATTCCTGTTAAGGAAATACTCAATGCACAGCCTCTAGATCCTTGGGTCAGTGAACCTACAGGTCAAAATAGTCAACAGCCTCCAAGAGGCAAAGGCAGACAGCTCCCGTTTTTTCTGTCAGGGTTGCATCTTCAGATGGGGAAGATGTAAGTTATGAAGGTCCACCTGGCTTCCCTCCAAAGGAAAATGGGAAACTACGGATGCTCACATTTGAGAAATCAAAATCAAGAACATGAATAGGGAACAAGGCAGCGAGGGTCAGCATATCACCTCCAGACAGACTCAAGCTACTCGCGAAAAACTAAGAACTTGGGAAACTTTATTTGTATCCCCCACCAATAAAATGTCACCCTCTCCAGGAACAGCATCCTCACTAGACACAATAGCAATAGCAACATGCTGCTTCTGTCTCCTTGTTCTCCAACTCGTCAAACAGAAACACAGTAGTCATACACACTTGTGTTCCTTTTAGATAGCTTGCAAAAATGGAGGCTCTGGCCTGGCCGGCTTGGCTCAGTGGGTAGAGCGTTGGCCTGTGGACTGAAGGGTCTCAGGTTCGATTCCAGCCAAGGACACATGCCTGGGTTGCCCCCCAGTGGGGGCATGCAGGAGGCAGCTTGGTCAATGGTTCTCTCTCATCATTGATGTTTCTCTCTCTCTCTCTCTCTCTCTCTCCTTCTCCCTTACTCTCAGAAATCAATAAAGAAATACATTTAAAAAAAAAAAATGGAGGCTCTGGTTCAGTAGCTTCACTCTGGGGCGTGAGGGTCTGCACTGTGAAAAGCCTGCAGGTGATGTTGAACTGTTGATGCACGCACCCCTGTTTAGACGCAAGTGCAGCATTACCTCATTCACCTTTGCAAGCACCCCATTGGCCAGCGTGGGGCAGAACAAACTGCCCCCCGACCCCCACCATAAAGATTCTGTTAGCTGGTCTAACAATCAAACAAACATGACACGGATTAGCAGGAGAAAATGACCAAATGTAATACATATATATGTATGGGAACCCCGCAGACCTGAGAGTCTGAGACACCCCTCTCCCCTCCCCATGCACAAGGGATTCGGAGACAGAAAGGGGTAAAAAAAAAAAAGTCCTTCTGAGCTAGGAATGAGACAAGAAGACTTGGGGGTGGGGGGGCGCTTCAAAGGGTCACTGCAGGATGACAGGAAGAGCAGATGTTTGGTAAATAAAAGCCTGCTTCCAAAACCGGTTTGGCTCAGTGGATAGAGCATCAGCCTGCGGACTGAAAGGTGCCGTCCCTGGTTCGATTCCGGTCAAGGGCATGTACCTTGGTTGCGGGCACATCCCCACTAGGGAGTGTGCACGAGGCAGCTGATGGATGATTCTCTCTCATTGATGTTTCTTTCCAACTCTCTATCCCTCTCTTCCTCTCTGTAAAAAGTCAATAAAATATATATTTAAAAAAAAATAATAAAAACCTGCTGTGCTATACAGGTGGGCCAGAAAGAGACAATTATCGCTGACAATCTCCTACGATGGGCAGAGGCCCTAATTCAAGCTCTTCTGGACAGGTAAAGGGAGGAGGGGTTTCTCCTGAGCCTGAAGCTACAGTGGACATTAATGATATCTAAATAAGTCCGCATACTACCGAGAGCATGTGGCTCTGAACCCTCATAGGCTAAAGAAGTCAACTCCCCCGCCCAAAGCCAAAGCACTGCAGGAATGGGGGGGGGGGGGGGCTGGTGTCAGCACCCAGGTCCCTGAACCTCCCCAATCTTCCCGCCGCTGCACCCCAGTCTCCCCGGGAAAGCAGCCCTAAGTCACGGCGCGGAGGGTCCGCGGCCGGCGCTCAGGAGGCAGGTCCCGCGAGGCCGCCGCTCCTCCGCGCCCGCCGCGCCGTCTCCCCGGCGCCGCGGAAGCCTCCGTCCTCGCTCGCTCGCTCGCCCGCAAACTGAGGGAACTCCCAAGTTGAAACTCGCGCGCACCCGCGCGACGCCGCCGAGTTACGGAGGCTCCGGAGAGACGCGACCCCGGGAGCCGCCGGTCACTCCCTCCCGCCGCGGGGGCTCGACGACCCCCGGATGGAGCCTCACGCCGGCCGCCAGGCCAACGCGCGGTCCCCCACCCGCTCCTCCTCGGGGGACGCGGGCTGGAAGGGGCCGCAGGGGGCGGAGACTCGGCGAGCCGGGTGGGCGCCGGGGCCCGCAGAGCGCGAGGCGGGGGTGGGGGGCGGGAGTCCCGAGACCCGGAGGCCGGAAGGGGCCGCCGGGGAGGGGCCTCGGAAGGCTGGGGGCGGCGGTTACCTGCCCCACGCACCGAAACGGCGCGCAGAGAGGTCCGGCCGCGCGCACTCACCTCCGCCGTACACGCCGCCGCTCATGGCTGCTGTCGGTGCGGCTCCTCCGCGGAAGGCTCCCGGGCGACGTGACTGCGCCGGCGGCGACCGCGGGTCCTGAGGAGCGCTGGCCTCTGACCCCCTCCCTCAACTTCCACCGCCACCCCCTCCGGCAACAAAGCGGCGTCCGCACGCCCGGTGCGCAGTCACACTTGCTGTCTGCTCTTTTCAGCCAATCGGGAGAGGTCCGGCTATCCTCCAGCCAATCACGACGGGGCTCTGGGGCATCCTGTCGTGGCCCTGTCCGTGTAGCCAGTCGCAGGCAGCCGTCGGGGCGGGGAGAAGGGAAGCGACCCCAGGGGAGCAGGGATTGGGCCCCGGAGTTGGAGGGGGCGGGTCCACCCCGGGAGGCGGGAGACGGCGGCGCTGGCAGCCGGACGCGGCGGAGAAACGTGCAGGGGCGGGTCCGTGGGTGTCTGTGGGCGCGGAGGGGCCGTGGGAACGCGCTACGGCCACGTGAACTTCTGAAAAAGAACTGGAAATTGGGGGAAAGGGTCTCCACGCGGTGATTTTTCGGTTTGGGAGTGTGGCGATTCAGGTGTGTTTTCAGGAAAAGTATTTTCAACTAACTTTTATGTTGACATGATGAAAACGGTGTGCTCCACTTTGGGGTAAAGGAATCCGTAAATCAAAGGTAGGATTCTGTAATGTTTAAAATGGTTGTGAATCATAAACATAAGGAAGTGCTAAATTTAGGTAGCAGTTTTTAAATTATTTTTATTGATATATATAGTGTTTTTTGGGGGGGAGGGGTTGGGTTTTAAAAAAATACATTTTATTGATTTTTTGCAGAGAAGAAGGAAGAGGAATAGAGAGTTAGAAACATCGATGAGAAAGAAACATCGATCAGCTGCCTCTTGCACAGCTCCTACTGGGGGCTGGGCCCTCAACCAAGGTACATGCCCTTGACGGGAATCGAACCTGGGACCCTTCAGTCCGCAGGTCAACACTATCCACCGAGCCAAACTGGTTAGGGCTGATATATTTAATTGTTTATTTTTAGATCATTTTTTCTAAATTTTTCAATTTCATAAAAGTTATAAAAGCGTCATCAATCTCTTCTACCCTGTGAGATAAAGGACAATGTGATCAGTCCTCATCCTAACGCGACCCTAATCCTAAACACCTCTCCCCTCGGCTCCCGTCCTCGTCCGCAGTCCAGGTGAGATCGCCGTGGTCTCTTCCCTGGGTCACTGCAGCAACTTGCGGCTTTGCCTCCTGGTCACCCTGCAGGTAGCTTGACCTCTGCAAACCCCACTCCGTGACAGCACTCCAACTCAAACCCTCAAGATCCGTGGTGTGTCCTTGTAGTCGGTAACAGTTCTTAAATTAGTTTGTCCGAGTCTAGGCTTTTAGGGGCTGCTCTTATCTTGAATAAAGCCCTGAATATTCGCCTCAGTGCCAGCAGGGTGGCAGAAAGTGACTGTAGCAGGAACAAAGCTAGAGAGAAAACTCTTTCCCACTAGCTTGACAGTATAATTTTCATATTATCTGTTCATTTAGGAACATACCCCCCTCCCCAACCTGATTGAGATAATGCAGAGTTCAGCAAAACTACAGGCCTGTGCCAAATTCAGCTTGCTTTCTGTTTTTGTATGGTCTGTGAACTAAGAATGCCACGTCTCAATGGTCTTTTAAAAATATTTTTAATAGTAATATTTTGTGCCCTAGTCAGTTTCCTGCAGACCAAAATGTCCAGGTTCGATTCAGGCCAAGGGCATGCACCTCAGTTTCAGGCTCCTCCCCTGCCAGGTATCTGGTCCTGCACCTGCAGGATACAACCAATTGATACGTTTCTCACACATCGATATTTCTCTCTGTCTTTCCCTCTCTCTTCCACTCTCTCTAAAAAAAATCAATGAAAAAATATCCTTGGGTGAGGACTAAAAAATAATAACAATAAAAAATAAAATATTTTGTGACATGTGAAAATTGTATGAAATTCACATTTCATTGACCATAAATTAAGATTCTTTGGAACACAGCCAAGCTTATTCACTTATGGCTTTTTTTTTTTTTTTTTTTTTAATGTAAGGGCAGAATTGAGTAATTACAACAGAAACTGTGACCCACTCAGCTAGGTAAGGCATTTACTATTAGACCCCTATTATAGAAAGAGCTCCCTGACCCCCGAGATAATTTGTGCAGCGCATCTAGCACAGTGCACCTAACTAGTATAACTTTATAACTCTTGTTACCCCCATGATTAAAGCTCTCTCTGTAGATATCAAATTCCAAAAACATCTCTATTTGAACTGTGTATTTTGTGTGACTAATAAAACTGACGAATTTTGAATATGTTACTTTGGTAATAAATATTGATGATATTTTGTTTACACAGTAATCCATTGAAATCAATTTGCCATTTTTTATGTTTTTCTTGATTTTAGAGAGTGGGAGAGGGAGAGAGGGACAGAAACATCAAGGATGAAAATCATTGATCAGCTGCCTCCTGTGCACCCCCTACTGGGGCATGTTCCTTGACCGGGAATAGAACCGTGACTTCCTGGTTCTTGGGTCAAACCTCAGCCAAGGGTCCACACCAGCCAGGCTCAATTTACCATTTAAAGTATAATATTCCTTGCCCAGTTGGCATGGCTCAGTGGCTGACGGTCGGCCTGTGAACTAGAAGGTCACGGTTTGCTTCCCGGTTAGGGCACATGCCTGGGTTGCAGGCTTGATCCTCAGTAGGGGGCATGCAGGAGGCAGCCAATCAATGATTCTCTCTCATCTCTCATCATTGATGTTTCTTTGTCTCTCTCCCTCTCCCTTCCCCCCTGAAATCAATAAAAATATATCTAAAAAAAAATAGTGTATAATTTTATTTTCTTATACAAGTTAAATAGAATACTAGTAGTTATCTTTCAGCAATATTATCTCTAGCTGTCCGGTAGTTCAGAGCTCACCAGAAAATGAAACAGTTCAGCAAGGTTAATGAGGACTACACCCCTAGCCGTCAGCGAGGCTTAAGTTGCTGTGATAATTATCTTCTACAGAGAACACACTGGAGTAAAGGGGAATCTTCAATCTGATAGCACAAAGAAAACATCTTTTTTTTTAAATAATATATATTTTATTGATATTTTTACAGAGAGGAAGGGAGAGAGATAGAGAGTTAGAAACATCAATGAGAGAGAAACATCGATCAGCTGCCTACCTACCAGGGATGTGCTGGCAACCAAGGAACATAGCCTTGACCGGAATCGAACCCGGGACCCTTCAATCTGCAGGCCGACGCTCTTATCTACTGAGCCAAACCGCTTAGGGCAAAGAAAACATCTTGAAGAAATATTGGAAAGTCATAATTAGGTGTTTTATTTAAACTAAGGGCTTTGCTTCACTTAGTAACTTGGAAAAATATTAGAAAACATTATACATTCATATAATTTCAGGTTAGCCTTTTCTCTTGATGTATCATTGGGCACATTGCTTTAACAAACCATTGAAATGACCTTCAAATGAAAAGAACTTCAGAGTACATCTGAACACATGTTAATACAGATAAAAGTGCACTTTTAAGCCCTTCATAAATTTTAATCAGTAAAAAAATGTAACGGCATTAAGATTACTGGCTCTGAAGTATTGAATTGCTGGAGGAAGGAACTGGTGAGAAAGGAAACCTACTCAGCATCCTAAGTAAACATGTCAGGGGACCAAGAAATTACAGTAACTTTGACCTTGTTTCCTTATGGGGGAGACATTCTATGGATATGTATTTTCTTCATTCTTCGTAGTTAGGAAAATTAGTAGAACATGCATTAAAAGTAAAATACTGACCCAGCAAGATGTACAAAATAGAAAATGTCTGAGGGAGTTTTTGCTTTAATATTTCTCTTCAGTAGCCTAATGTTTTCTCTAGTCTTTGCTCTACCTATATTAATGTAATTGATAGCTAGTCAGATTAAAAAAACAACTGCTCTAGCCAGTTTGGTTTAGTGGATACAGTGTCGGCTGTGGACCAAAGGGTCCCGGGTTCGATTTAGGTCAGGCGCATGCAGGAGGCAACCAATCAATGTGTTTCTGTCACATCAGTGTTTCTCTTTCCCTCTCTTTTCCACTCTCTCTAAAAAAATCAATGGAAGAATATCTTCAGGTGAGGATTAACAACAACAAAACACAAACAAAGAAAAACAATAATAAAACCACAACTCAAGGTTATTGTCTGTATGTCAATTCTCGAGGACATTATACATAAAAATAATGCTTGCAACTCTTGCGGCTCCCCCCCGCCCTCAACCAGCCAGCATATTCTGTGTCAACCTAAAAGTAAAAGGTATCAAAATAACATGCATGTAAATTTGTATAACCCACAATAAATGCTCAGTGGTTGACTCTGAACCCAGATATATAAAAATAAGTGCTTTTAGATATTCTTTGTAATCTGCAAACATCAAGAACAGAAAAAAAGTGCAGTGAAGACCTGGAGAAAGGGAGAGAGGGGGGAGAGGGAGTCAGTGGAGAAAAATGGGGGAAACCTGTAATACCTCCAGCAACAAAGATAATAAAAATAAATAAAAATTTAAAAAATGTCAAGAAGTACCCAAGTGCAATACTTGATTTTGCCTCATGAGGTCGCTGCTCTCTCATGGCTCTAATGCTGCAGCCTCATTTCTTTTTTTCACCAACTCTATCAGAATTCAGATTATGGAACTACACAGCAGTCATTACAAAATGTTATTGATCTTGTCCTCTGCCTCAGCCTTTAACAAGTTCAGAGTTGAAGAAAAATTGCAACTCTTATAATGCAAGCTAGGAAATGTTCAGATTGTCATCTGTTAAGAATGACACAAAAATGTATGCATTTAGAATTATTTCATGCTGCAAAATATATGCAATTAGCAATTATGAAAAGCAAATTTCAATACAAATTCTGTGTATGTATATGTGTGTGTATAATGAGTCATAAATACCATACTCTGTTTATCAAAGTTCCAAAAACTATAATACTCATGCAAGCACCATTGCTATAACTCAGCAGGGGTCCTCAAACTTTTTAAAGTGGGGGCCAGATCACAGTCCCTCAGAGAGCTGGAGGGCCGGACTATATGAACTACTATTTCCTACTGTAACACCTCAGCTGCGCTCACTGCCCAAAAAACCTGGCGGGCTGGATCAGACTCCCCTGCGGGCCGCATGTGGCCCGCGGGCCGTAGTTTGAAGACGCCTGC